GTAAGATAAACTAATGCTACATTCATGACAGGATTAAGATTTATGAAATCACATCCCCATTAACTGCTATGAACTTTTTCTGTTGTTGTTTAAATTGTTAGTGATCCACTTCAGCCTCGACTCCACTGTGACTATCCATTAGCACGTCAGTCTGGTCAGAATAATACAAACAAACAGGCATTTTAAACAGCTTTCTATGCTAAGTAAGGAATTAAATATTCATAACCTTTTCACAGAACCTTACTTCAAAAGATCTGAACTGCCCCTATAAGGTAAAAGATGTTTTACACATGTTTACACACGTGATGGTTTTCTTACAACATGCACACAGACTGGAACAGGAAGCAGTTTCAGTAAAAAGGCTGAAACAATTGAGTCCAACATGTCTCACACATAAAAGTGCTGTCCTAACTAGCAGCTTTATAAGAGTTTATCCTTTTACAGCTTTACCTTAAACTCAGTACTGAGAGAATAAATAATGATTGTGCCGAATACGACTAGCTGGCTGTTTTTGACAGAGCCTCCAACATATTTACAGCCAGTAGGAGATTTTGAGTTTCTATCATTTCTAACCTAACCAGCCTCCCACTCGCAGAAACAGACACAAACACAAAGCTGTGCCTTTAACAGAACCAATGCTCACCCACTCTTTGTTTTTTGGATCCATGCATGATGCTACAGTGCGCTCTTTGGTTTACTTCCCTGCTCTTCTATTCTTTCATTTGAATGAGGTGGCAGCCTAGTCTAAAATAGTCAGTTACATTTTTCTCCACTGAATTTGTAGAATTAAAACCTTTTAAAGCCTGAAACATGAATGCAAATATTGTTTTAGAACAACCATAAGATGGCTAATGCTAATATGAAACTATGAAATAATCTGCTTATGTTTTTACACTATTATACTACACAATAGATAAAATTCATTGATTGCCACCTATAGATCCAGAGGGTAGAAGACGTGGCAGCATTTAGATGAAAGTACTAATCCAAATATTCAGGCCATGTTAGCAGGTAGTCAGATTTTTGTAAAACCAAATCTTTCCCCCACCGATGTAGAAAAAACAATCATAGACATGTCATGGAACAACAGTGCCCATGTCATAACTGGAGGGTTGTGGGATTGAGTCCCACTCACCCTTTAGCAAGACACTTAACCTGGTTGCCTGGTTGGAAGGACCGCTGGTGCCTGTGCTCAGCAGCCTCGCTTCCATCAGTGTGCCCTAGGGCAGCTGTGGCTACATTGTAGCTCATCATCACCAGTGTGTGAATGTTTGTGTTTTTAAGCGCCTTGGGTGGTTGTAGAACCCTAGAAGGCGCTAAACAAATACAAGCCATTTACCATGGCAAACATGTAGGTGGCAGTATTTCCCCAAATTGTCTTTGCCTAAAACTTACCAAGGATGTGGAATAACCAGGTGGTGGTCAAACACCATCCTTAACTTTGTTCTTGCACTTTAAAAAGAGAGACCAGTAAGGTTAAATATTTCAAGTAATTAATATCTATTTACTTGTTTATTGCAGTTGTCTTATTAAATACTAATCATAATTAGTCATTTCGGAACTTTTTTTTTTGACAGATATGTTTTACTCTGTTTGACCTTAGGCTCAGTGTGTGTGTGTGTGTGTGTGTGTGTGTGTGTGTGTGTGTGTGTGTGTGTGTGTGTGTATATATATATATATATATATGTACATCCACAGAGCCTCCAGGGCGTTCCTAGACCAAACCAAAGTCCCACCCATCTGACGTCCTGTGTCTCTTTCACTCATGCAGCTATAATAAAACATTTAAGAACCAGTGCTTGTTTCTCTTATTATGTCTGCCTTGAGAAGCCCATTCTGTCCTCACTGTCTGCTCTCATAACGACGATGAATGAATTAAATTTAAACACTCAGCTGCAGGATAAAACTTGTTAAAGCAATGCCAAGTCTAATAATAAGATAAGCATCAGCTATTTCACTGACTTACCTAGACCTGTGTGGCTGTCAGCTGTCTGGCAATATTCATGGAGCGGTTCGGTGTGACTGCACACTTCCTGACACTTCTCACTAGATAATGATGGCACCTGTCTAACAACACCACCTGCTGTGCTGTTCCTCTCACGACTCGAGTCCCAACACGCAATCAATCCCTCTCTAATTTAATTTGTCTTCAAAGTTGACACGGAATACCGATTAAATCCTTATTTTATCTGCTTGGATACAAAATCAATACAGATCAACAGACCGGTAATAAATAATTTATGCATCAGCTGAGGACGATTTGAAACCCTTCTGCTGTGCCACTTTTACCACGTTGTTGCATTTTTGTTATTCTCTGTAGTGCTGTAGTGTAGTGATTTTTATCTTTGGAGGCACTTTATAAAATATTGTTTTCTTTCTTTCCTTCTAAGTTGGGAGAACCAAAAATGTATAGAATATTATGCTAACAGAGATTTAGATTAACATGTATAGCAGGTGTGTTCAAAGTAAGGCCCATAGGCCATTCACAGCCCCTGGAGTTATTTTGTGTGCAGCATTCATTAATGGGAGACTTTGCAGTTTTAGCTTGCTTTTAGCACCCCCTAGTGTCCGTTATTCAAAGCAAAAGTGAAACTTTTCTCCTCACTGTGTGTTTGTCATTTTAACACCTTAATCTAACTGCTGAAATGTCTCCTCAGCCTTCGTTAGGTTCTAGAGGAGCTGTTTAGAACTTAATCGAGCAAATCTGCTGTGTTCATGATCTAAAACACGCAGGAAATGTGCTGCAAGCAGACTCCAGGGCCAGGTAGGTCAGTTCCACTTTTACTAAGTCCAACAGGGACTGGACCGCCACTCTGAAGTTGCAAGTGCGATATTCTTGCCGCAGGGCAGCTGTGGCTACAATGTAGCTCATCATCACCAGGGTGTGAATGTGTGTGTGAAATGACCAGTTGTGTTTTAATGTTGTGTGTGTGTGTGTGTGTGTGTGTGTGTGTGTGTGTGTGTGTGTGTGTGTGTGTGTGTGTGTGTGTGTGTGTGTGTGTGTGTGTGTGTGTGTGTGTGTGTGTGTGTGTGTGTGTGTGTGTGTGTGTGTGTGTGTGACTGGATGAATGGTACACTGTAGTGTAAAGCGCTTTGGAGTCCTTACTCTGAGAGGCGCTATACAAGCGCGGGTCATTTATCATTTAAAGTGCCTTGGGGGGGTTCCAGGTTTTTAGAAGGTGCTATATCAAATACAGGCCATTTACCATTCATAACTTTGTAAAAGGTCATTTTAGCACATGCTGGCTTAAGAAAATGATTTGAAAATGCGACAAAAGTTGCTAGTGTGGCATTAAATCCAGGAAATTTGAGGAAAATGTGCATACAGATTTTTATGTTTTGTATTAAAACATATTTATAAATCCATTTCTACAAAAATGCAAAAAAAGTTGTGATCTTATCAATAAAATATTGCATGTTTAATGTAGTGTTGAGTAGATAAAATGAAATAAGTCACAATAAAATATTTTTTACCTTTTTTTCTGATAAAAACATCTCATATTTGTGGCCTGCAGTGCTCAGAGTGTGACGATTTTAGCCCATAGCTCAAAAGTTTGGCCACGACTGCTGTCGGGTTTGACGCATGTGTAGGGGATGATTCAGAGCTACTGTGACAACAAATTTTGGCTCAGGGTCTCTGAAACTGAGTTATTGCCACTTTTATGTTAGATAATATCAGCGGGCTGCTGGGGCCATCTTGAAATAGAAAAGTTATTCGGTTGTAAATGCAGGTCCGATGATGAAGTTCTGAGACTAAACATTCTTAAACCCTCTTTCATTTTGGAATTAAAACTTTGAGCCCACAAGTTTGCAAAAAAACAAAACTGTGCATAAAACACATTTTGTCAAGATTTTAAATTGCATGTATTTGTGCTACAGTGTACTTATTTCCACAGTCTGCAAAGTACACACTTTTTTTAATCTTGCAGAATACTCAGCATTTTTAAGTGGTTGGACTGCATTAGTAAATTACACTCTCTGACCTGTTGGCAGCAATTGGCACTCTAAAATTAGAGTGTCTATTTGTCTTTTTTTTCTCTGCATCTTCTTTTGTCTTAACGCCATCTAGTAAGCAGTGGCTATCAGAGTGAATGGCATGTGTGAGGACTAATTTTAGCGTGTCTTCTTGTGTTCACTAAGAGCTTATGTGCTCCACAGTGAATTGTACTTGGCAAAGGACGTGATTGTGGAAAGGACGTTGTTGTGCTCATTACAGCCGTAAGCTGCTGCTTAGGTTTTTATTGATGTAATGGGACGTAAGATTGAGCCAAGTCCACACTGTGCGCTGATATGCCAATGCTAAAAGCACGGTTGGAGCCCCTCTCTCTCTCTCTCTCTCTCTCTCTCTCTCTCTCTCTCTCTCTCTCTCTCTCTCTCTCTCTCTCTCTCTCTCTCTCTCTCTCTCTCTCTCTTTCTGTGACAGCATGGCCTCTCAGCTCTTGAAGTCATTAAATTTGCAGCAGTGAACTGGAAAGAGAGAGTGAAGCAGGGCTGGCTGCCCCCTGGAGAAAGCTGCACGCAGGGAGAAGCATTTGAAACATGTCAACAAAGGCTTTCCCCCTCGCATCAATTGGAATGGTGACGATAGCATTAGCAGCCTGGCTGTAAATGCATTGGAACATAATATGAGTGACATAGGCAGCCCAGAGTCATCACATATAGATGAGATCGTGCAGAAGACTGATGTGTTTCTGCACTGTCATTCTTTTTTATTGCATAACTGGTTGTGATAACAAAACACCTGACTTTTACGGTCACAAACAAATCTCATTTAGCTCCAGTGTGTGGACAAGTCTGTTTAGATGAATGAGCTCTAGTCATTCAGCTTCAATGACACCCTTTTCCTACCTTCTGCGAACCCAAAGCACACGGTAAAGTGCTTGTTATAGAGCTCTGTTGGGTGATTTTTGGATTATTCCCATGCCTTTGTAGTTCTGTCCTTTTCCAAGGCATGTGCCTCTCTTAATCCCTTCTGCTCCCTGTCCTCGTGTCTCCTCCAGGCGAGGGATGATATATTGAATGGCTCCCACCCCGTCTCCTTTGATAAAGCTTGCGAGTTTGCGGGGATTCAGGCTCAGATCCAGTTTGGACCCCACGTGGAGCACAAACACAAGCCTGGATTTTTGGAGTAAGTTTTTCACTGTTTAAAAGAGGAGTTTCCCACATCAACCAGAATAGCATTATTGGTGAGTTTTGTGCAGCAGCTCTCACTTCCTTCAGAGCAGGATCTTACCTCAAGGGATTTCCTCCCATGGACAGCTCAGGGTTGATGTCAGCTGTTACAACTGTGTTTTGATTCTTAAGGCACTTACTTGAATGACCTCATATGTAAAGGTATGCCGATAAAAAGGCAAATGCCTGTGGCTTAAGTGGATAACCATGTGAAAATCCCATTTATCTTTGTAGCCTGAAGGAGTTCCTACCTAAAGAGTACGTCAAGCAGAGAGGGTCCGAGAAGAAAATATTCCAAGTATGTTTGCTGCATTGCTCCTGCCTGGCACTTGAAGCCACTCCCGAGTTTGAATTTCTTTTGACCCCGCAACAATTAAACCAGAATTATATGTAGCCCTGACTGGTTTGACCTTGTAACTGTCATCTCTGCAGGATCATAAAAACTGTGGAGAAATGACAGAAATTGAGGCCAAAGTGAAGTACGTGAAGCTCGCCAGGTCTCTGCCGACGTACGGAGTGTCCTTTTTCCTTGTTAAGGTAAGAACTAAACCTACTGAATGGGTTGATTTAATCTATTAAAGTTCCTCCGCTCAAATCAAACTTATTTGGGTTTTTATAGCATGCATCTTATAGCATGTAGTCGTTGGACTTTGTATTAAGTACACCTTGCCAGTTTTAGGTCTGACCTGTCTTTTCATTCAGAACTGCCTTTATCCTTCATGGCACGGATTCAACAACACTCCTCAGAGGTTCTGGTCCAAATTGGCACAATGGTGTCACTCAGTTGTTGTAGATCTGTCAGCTGCACATCCATGATGTGAATTTCCCATTGCACTAGATTGGGATCGGAGTTCAGTGGACTCTTTTATGTGTTCAACAACCCTGTTTTAGATATTTAAAGCGGTGAATTATCGGAAGGTAGGTCCACTGCTCCCATGAAGGGATGGATGTGGTCAGCAACAAACCAGGCTCAGTTGGTACTAATCTGGGATTTCCATCACCCGGTCTGGTACAGTCAGGTCTGGCTATTTTTGGATCGGTGTGTTCCGGTTTGGATCTGCAATTTTCAGGCAAGCGTTCTGATCGCATTTTGGGCCAACTCGTCAGCAGGCGAGGTTAAATTAACCATCATGCGCGATTAATTTGTGCAAATATCCAGTATTTTTGTGCTGCAATAAATGGCCTACAGAGCTAAAGACAAAAACAAAATGCTTAACACAGCTTCCATGTGTTTCTCCCATCCAAACAAAAAATTTCACTCCGGCTGTCTGTCCTTAACTTCTCTATATTGGGCTTTAATTTCTTCACCTTGGCCCGACATTGTGGCGACGTCCGCTCTGATCCTTCAGCTGCCGTCCACTGAGAAGAAAAACGTTCTTACTGATCCACCTAGCTCCTCCTGTGGACTAGAAGCTCCCGCAATGACAATGAGGAATGTTTGGAGCTCTGAAGGTGACCAAAACTTGCTGCTACTTGCTGGCATTTTTTCACGTTCATGTCCAGCTAATGAAAACACAAACAACAGAACTCTGTTCTTTTTTCTTGTTGCAAGTAGGGATGTTTTTCTGTCCCCCAATCCGTGGACTGGGTTGTTGCTCCGCCCTAACCATACCGCTCCGGAAATTTCTGGACCTACAACAGAAGGAGGCCCAAAACGTCCTGTGACTGGTGCGGTCTGGGTAGGTTGTCTGGACCGCTTTTACAGTCGGAACAGAAACATTAGTGATCTGATCCTTCCCATTCCATGCCAAAATGGTCGATGGAAATGAGCTATAAGGAGCCTAGAGTGGGCCAAGAAAATCTCCCCCACACCATCAAACTACCACCAGCTAAAGTTGTTGATGAAAGGCCGGATTTGCTTCACATTTATGCTGCTGTTGAAAATAGCTTAATAGAAATTAGGCTGCCCTTTCCTCTATGACCTCTGACATCTACAAGGTCATGTCATCCCTACAACTGCTGCTCAATGGTATTTTCTATTTTTTGGACCATTTCCTGAACCCTAGAGGTGGTTGTAGATGAAAATTCCAACAGATTCGCAGTTTCTAAAATACTCGAACTAGCAAGTCATCTCCACTGATGGGTTAGATAGATGCCTAAATGCAGCCGAGTTGCTGCCATGTGATTGGCTGGTTAGCTGCCTAGAGGAACAAGTGTTATAAAGCGTCTGGTGAATGCACGTTGGGTTTTGCATTTTTGTCACATGCTCCGTGTAATAATTGAAGCCATAACAGTCTATTATAGGAAAATACCAAAATAAAAGGTATAATAAAAGTGGCAAACATACAAATAACTATTTTTCCTACAATGCAACCAATTTATTTCAAATGACCAAAGCAGCACATCTCTCCTGTTGTGACAAACAGATATATAATGTTACTGCTACAGTGATTGGCCGCTTTGACTCTGATACCCTCTGTGATGGACTGGACTGTGCTGTCAAACAGGTATGAAAGCTGGTTTGAAGCACCAAAAGCCTCATTATCACAACAAATCAGAAGCCTTTGAGTGGAAGCTCATGACAATAGCGGTTCTGTTCAGGCCCAGTTTTGCAACACAAAAGTGGAACGGAGAGCGAATGAGATGAAGATGCAGGAGTGAGTGTTCTAAAAGCTTCCTGACAGCACTCCATTTGGCTTCAAACTTGCAGAAAAGAAGGGAGAAAAACGAGGAAGAGCGAAGCTTTCTGCTGGGGTCCTAATGGATGATAAATGGAATGTTTGGCCCCGTAGTTAAAGCACACCGCCGGGTTCAAATTATCTGTGTGTGCCGTTATGAAACGTTGTGAGTGCAAGCACAGGCTGTGTTCAAAGAGGAGATGAAGTGATGGAGATTTCAAGACTGCTAAATAATTCACCCCTGCTGCACTCTGCTTTCTATGTCTGCAATGGCAAAATCGACTACTTGGTGTTGTTGAAGCTTTATTTTTGTAACCTTCCATTTCTCATTTGTCAGTATAGTTATTTTTAATTCAGTCACATAGAGAGAATAATGCATTGATCATGTGTGGCAAAAGTTGGCTTTGGTGCAGGAATGCGTGCATGATTGTTTCCAGAGACACGTTTTACCCTGAAATAATCAAGGGTGAACAATATAAAATGAAATCATCAATCACCTCTCCACTTCAAATTAGAAAGGCACTCTTCAAGCTTCAATGCAGCCTTGAAGGCTGTGATGTTTAAAGATTTTAACCTAAAACAATACATGTTTGCACAAAGATGTGACACACACTGGAATAATGTTATCTGTCCTTGAGTGTAAGAGGGCTTAGAATAAAACCACTCCATATCAGTTTTGACCCTGCGATAAAGAAAAACAGAGGTTTTGAGACGCTGAATTAATATAATATGACCTCGCCGGCTCTACTTGCTGCTAATTTTTGTTCCATTCTCTCCCCCCCTGGAGGAGAGCCAGGTCCGGGCTTGTCGTCTGAAGTGAGCTGTAATAGATTTTCAGTGGGCAGCCAAGCTAGTCAGGCAGAAAGCTGGTGGAAGCACCACGCGGCTGTGCTGACAGTGACTCAGGCCTGTGGAGACCCTGTTCAATAAAACAGCAGTTAAACAAGCCCAAGCTCTTTGGGTCACTTCGCTGCCGCCCTTCTCCCTTCAGCCATCCACAACTTCAAACCGCAGACGCATTAGAACATCTGTGTTCCAGCCGCCAAGCGTCGAGGGGCATCTTCCATTTTGTCTGATTTTTCTTTTCTAACAGGAAAAGATGAAGGGTAAAAATAAGCTGGTGCCAAGACTGCTGGGGATAACCAAAGAGTCTGTGATGCGAGTGGACGAGAAGACCAAGGACGTGGTGCAGGAATGGCCTCTGACAACCGTCAAGAGATGGGCGGCCTCTCCCAAGAGCTTCACCTTGGTGCGATGTGACTGATTTCCATCACCTGTAATGTTATGCGTGTATTCATATGCGCAGCGTGACTCCAATTTGTTTTCACAATCCACACACAGTCCCTTAAAAACATTCACATCGGAATATTTAACATTTTCAATATGCCGGCCGGCTTTTTCATCCAAGTTAACAATAGAGTCTGGAGGGAGAATGTGCAGAATGTAGATGTATTATTTATCCCAGAGCTTTTTTTTTCCTTCTCCAGCATTTTGCTGCTTCCCTTCCATTCTGGGAAAGGTTACCCCACTTAAAGATAAATAGATTGTACAAATTTAAAAAAATATCTCCTAAGGTATGTTTGCCAACATCGATTTAAACAAAAAAAAAAACTTAGCCTTGTGTTTCTGCAGAATACTTTGAAGTTAGCAGTTCTCAGATTCACGTCTTCTCAGTCAGCTCTTTAGAGAAATGGGACGCTCCAAAGAAGCTGGTCTTTTCCTGAATAGCTGAAATGATGAAAGGACTGCCAAATTGCTTCTGTCCCCCACCCCTCAATGATGCATTCCCCCCCCCCCCCCCCCCCCCCCCCATTTGTGCACAGAACTCCTCACTCCTTCTAGTAGATTCTGAAAATGTTTGCATCATGTCAGATGGCAATACAAATAAGCTTTAAGAACACTGTCCCCTTTGAATTTTTAAAGGATTTTGGAGAGTACCAAGAAAGTTACTACTCTGTCCAGACTACAGAGGGAGAACAGATATCCCAACTTATTGCTGGATATATTGACATCATTCTTAAAAAGGCAAGTGCAGAAAACTAAATAATGAGTTGCATTTTCTGCAAAAATGATCACCAGAGTTTTCTGTATCGTCTCGTCTGCGTACAGAAGCAGAGTAAGGATCGCTTTGGCCTCGAAGGAGATGAAGAGTCCACGATGCTGGAGGAATCTGTTTCCCCTAAGAAGTGAGTTGTATTTATACACCGTCTGCTATTTTAAAAAATAAGTGCTGACCACTCTAATTTACGAACACAGTCTGGTGGTTTTTTATGTGTTTGAGTCTTACTGTTTAATTACGCATGTAATCACATTTGTGCCAGTCTTGTGTAGTTCTTACCCAGGAGAGATAAGTTAGAGCCAAAGCAGCACTTTAAATGTTAGCATAATAAAAATATAATTTGTTGAAGTGCTCCCGTGTATGAATTTTGTACAAACCGCCTCGGGTTAAAGCAACCAAAATATTCTCTCGCTTCATTAAAGGAAGTTAAGATTCTAACATCAGCCACTTAAATGTTTTGTTATTTTTTATTTGGACAGTATTTTCTCTGGTTTTATGATGTAATAAAGTATTACTAACATAAATGGAGGTAGAAATAATGGATGAGGACTCTTCCTACTTTTATCTCACTGGTAAACCATCTTTTCTCTCCTATCTGGAGGCACGCCGACAATAAAAGTTGAGACATTCTGTAAGATTTCTCCTAGGATTGATTTTAGGTTCATTGTCACAAAGACGAGGAGGAAAGGAGGCATGAGAAAAGTTTGTTCAAGTGTGAAAGCAGGGCTGCACTTAAAATGCATCACTACAGTGGGATTGATTCTGTGGTATTGAACAGAGGCAGAGTGTGAAATATGTTGAAAGTGTTCTGTGCCAAAAAAATAAATAAATAATGGGGAACCATGCTTCCTGCTGCTCATGGTCCAGTCAACTCATATTTTTGGTCTTGTTCTAAAAACATAATTGCTGCTTCTCAAAACAAGCTGTAATTAACCAATAGAGTCAGAAGCATCTGTTGGGCATAAAGACATTTTTTGTGCGGTGTTCGCTCTGACTGGGTCCTCTCACTGTGAGGGTGATTGTTAGTGCTTGAAATTTGTAACGCTGCAATTATTATTTTGCAGGGTTTTTTGCCAGAAAAATTAATTAAAACAATGCTATCGTCTGATATAATTGTCATGTTTTATAAATGTGCTTAAATGGTAAATGGCCTGTATTTGATATAGCACCTTCTAGAGTCCTGGAACCCCCCAAGGAGCTTTACAACACAATCAGTCATTCACCCATTCACACACACATTCACACCCTGGTGAGGATGAGTTACGATGTGGTCACAGCTGCCCTGGGGTGCACTCACGGAGGCGAGGCTGCCGAGCACAGGCGCCACCGGTCCCTCCGACCACCACCAGCAGGCAAGGGGGGTTTATTGTCTTGCCCAAGGACACAACGACAGCGACAAACTGAGCGGGGCTCGAACCTGCAACCTTCCGATTACGGGGCGAGTACTTAACTCCTGTGCCATGCACCGTCGCCCCTTAAAATGAAAGGAGAAAGCTTTTATTATCAGTTTTTGGATAAAAGTTCTAAGTAATTACTCGCCGTGAAAAGCTTTTTTTGAACAGCTTCAGTTTGGAAAAACAGGTTTTATCTGATGTCATTGATGAGCTAACAGCATTTCAAGCATGGCCATGACAAAAAAATGTTTTTCTGCTATCTTAAAGGACTGGTAGTCTGAAAAAACGTCTTTAAAATATTTTTTCTGATTACAATCGTTCACCCTGAGTTTTTCATGCAGGCTGAACATAAAATAATCTCCTACACCGATCTCCTGCATTAGCTCCTGATAGAAAATAGACTCTAGGATTTGAAGATCCTCACTAATCTATGTCACACAGTGAATTAGCATTCATGGACTCACCGATCATGACTAACAATGATGAGGGCTGTTGTTGTTTTGACGTCCCGTAATCACCGGAGGATGTCTTGGCTAGTTTAAGCTAACCGTTAGCATTAGCAACTTCACCTCATGGCAGAACTCCTCCAGGCTTGTGTTTTTTGTGGAGATAAACATCCACATTGCAAGTCAGTGGTAGAGTTGTGTTGCTGTTCTCCTGGCTGAATGACAAGTATCAGAAAATAAGACTCCAAATCCTGCCGTGCGAAGCTCTCCTGTGATGCAGCAGAGTCAGGGGGTTTGTGGGCTTTTTTGTTTCTTGAATACGACCTGTAAGGCATTCATTCCTACTAGAGGCCACCCCAAGGTGCTTTACAACACAAACAGGCATTCACGCGCTAATGGTGATGGGCTAAACTGTAGCCACAGCTGCCCTGCAGCGCTGACGGAGGCGAGGCTGCTAAACGCTGGCACCACTGGTCCTTCCAACTTGCCCAATCGAGGACACTGACTGTGCCAGCCCACCTCCAGTTACATGTTACATGTTATTATTGAGAGAAATATAAAACATTTAGCTGATTTTAATCCCTGGATTCACTAGAAGTGCAGTATTTTACCACTGCAGTTGCATGTAATTAACCATCTAATGTGAGTTGATGAAAGACAAGACACTTTTGTTTGTATCTCACTGGGCACGCAACTGTTTAAACAGGCGGCAAATCTGTCTCCAAAGTGTCTCAAAATGTTTGCAAAAGCTCTCAATTTCATCACTTTTATGGCCTTGCTGTTTAGTTGTTGGATTTTGAACATGTTAAACAAAAGCGTACTTTTTTTTTCTCTGAATTGTTGCAGTTTCATTGTGAACATCCCAAACCCATTTGAAGCCCTTCTCAATTTAGGTGTACTGAATCAAAGTGAGGAAATGTGCTTGTTGAGGGGTTGTCAACAGAATTATGAATAAAATGCGGGTGAATATTTGCTAAAAAGTTTGTGACTAAATTGTGCTAAAGAAAATGTGCATGGAAGTTGTGATACCTCAAAGAAGCAGCCATGTGTGGCACTAGTCACACGTGTTGTATGGACTTGATTACAACAGAGAATTTGTATATTTTCATCATAGTTTCATGTCTCCAACTAGCTGCAACCTGTTGTAACCCACTGAGATACTGGTTACCACTGTCACTAGCTCTAACTAGTAAATAGGTGATGAAATCTGGAGGATAGAAGCTTTTTTCTCCAAATAAAGGCCCTTATTTACAATGTGTAACGTTGTACTCATTATCTACATTTACACAGAAACACTACAAAATTCCAAACAATGTTCTTAAAGTAAAATTTAAAGTGAAATTAATGAATTTAATAAAAAATACAATTTACCTTTAAAGAGTCCCAAACCCTAAACATCTACTGTTGAAATTCTTTATGCAGCAAATGCATTTATCAGATGCAGGTATGCTTAATATGATGCAAATGCATAATGAACTACATGAATACTACCGAAGACATCACTTACTTCCATTATTTTGTCTTTTATGTAAGATCCACAATCTTGCAGCAGCAGTTCAACAGAGTCGGTCGCGTGGAGCACGGCTCAGTGGCGCTTCCTGGCATCATACGGTCCGGCTCGATTGGCGGCCCTGACACTTTCAATATGGGCTCCATGCCCTCTGCCCAGCAGCAAATCACCAGCGGGCAGATGCACAGAGGACACATGCCTCCGCTGGTGAGTGGGGGAGGAGGTTCAGTTCTGCTCTGCTCTATACTTTAGGACTAAAAGCATTAAAACATAATGTTGAAGGACATTTTTCTATGAGATTATATATTTCCTTCAGCAGATTTCACTTATTCTTTTGCAGTCATAAAATAAACAGCAGTGGATTTTTTCAGTGTGTAGGCTCATCTAGGGAATGTGGTTTGTGAGTGTTTTGACAGCTTTGCAGTCAGAGTAGCTTTGTTTATTCCTGTGTGTGTGTGTGTGTGTGTGTGTGTGTGTGTGTGTGTGTGTGTGTGTGTGTGTGTGTGTGTGTGTGTGTGTGTGTGTGTGTGTGTGTGTGTGTGTGTGTGTGTGTGTGTGCGTGCGTGCGTGCGTGTGTGTGTGTGTGTGTGTGTGTGTGTACGTGTGTGTGTGTGTGCGTGCGTGCGTGTGTTCTGTCATCAGAGTTTAGCTCAGCAGGCTTTAATGGGAACCATCAACAGCAGTATGAAGGCTGTGCAGCAGGCGCAGGCTGACCTGGGACATGTAGATCATCTGCCTCCATTGGGCCACGATTTGGTGAGTTTATTACAAAATTCTGACCAATCGTGACTACAGCATTTGAAAAAGAATTATCCCACAACATTCCCAGTTGATTGCTCACTTCTGATTGTTTGCTTTATGGCATCAAATCTGCTGCACCCTCATAGCAAAGACAGCATAATAACTGAACACTTTTACTGCACTAAACACCATAAATAGGAGGTAGAGCTGAATATAAATGTGAACAGGCTGCATTAGATGCATGAGTGTTTCCAAAGCCATAGGTTTGTTAACTTGCTCAGTCCTTTGATCCTAATCTGTATGAGCTAAAAATCCCCCGCTGTGATCAATACCAAAACCTCTTGTTTTCCTCCCTCCGAAAGGCATCCAGGGTTTGGGTTCAGAACAAAGTGGATGAATCCAAACATGAAATCCACTCTCAGGTTGATGCCATCACTGCTGGAACAGCTTCTGTGGTCAATCTCACAGCAGGTGAGCTCCCAGGAAAATGCTGAGCTGCTGGAAGATGGCACACACCTTTAATTTCAGTCAGTTTAGGGCAGCTGAAGGCAGCTGAATGCAGGTTTGGAAAGTTTGTTGAAAGTACAACCTGAATACAAATGAAATTTTTGTTTATGAATGAACTCCAATTTCCCTCTGGGATTAATAAAGTATCTTTGAATTGTACTGAATTGTGTAGTAACTCGAGACTTTTTTCATAATCTGAATGTTCTTAATAAGACTTGATTTTTTTTCAAGTTCCTGTATTGTCTGATGCAAAGCCAGTTTTAGACTTTAACCTTACCATTTGTTAGATTTCCTTTCTTTGCTGTCTGATTCAAAGTTTGAGAGCCTTTTTTTTTTGTCACAGCCACTTGCACCGTCGATGTGCTCAGCTCCACGGAGCCATTTCAAACAGACTCTAATCATGAAGCTGATGTGTGTGTTAAAGCGAATGACACGCTGGCTGCCCGGTGGTTTTGCTAAATCAATGCTGCAGCAGCATCACAAATTAAGATGCACAGCGGAGATGCAGTTTGATGTTGTTTGCCATGACAGCTGCCTTTCCTCTGCAGGTGAGCCGACGGAGACCGACTACACGGCAGTGGGCTGCGCCATCACCACCATCTCCTCCAACCTCACAGAGATGTCTAAAGGAGTCAAGCTCCTGGCTGCATTAATGGACGATGAGGTGGGAAGTGGACACAAGCTGATGGGTGCTGCCAGGATGCTGGCAGGGGCTGTGTCAGATCTCCTCAGATCTGTTGAGCCTGCAGCCGCTGAGGTGAGGCACCCACTGATTACTTTGTTGATTTCAGGATTTTTATGCTCCACTGTAATCCTTAGATGTAACCAAAAAAAAAAAAATACACTTAATGTTGAGTTCCAGGCTTGTTTGAAGAATGTCTCGGTGAAAAGGCATTCTGTGGGATGATTTCCAAACCTGTTTTAGATTATTTGAAGGGTCAGTGAGAGAACAGGCCTGGCTTGAGTGATGAATGTGCTGATGTCATCCTCGTGCAGCCCAGACAGACGGTGCTGACTGCAGCAGGAAGCATTGGACAAGCCAGCGGGGACCTGCTCCGTCACATGGGGGAGGGCGAGACTGACGAGAAGTTCCAGGTTGGATGCAACCCACGCACTATTTCTATGATGGTGTCGGCCAAACAGGAAGCTCCACAGGCACCAAAATTCTCAGGCTTCACTTAAAAATATCAATACATGCTTGTTTAATTAATTATCTTAGGCAAAACATTAGCCTTCCACTTTTGCTGGATTTATAACAGAAAATACAAAAGTGAGCTTTTTGTTGAAAAACAGACCAGAGTGTGTCCAAGACCTTGGGTATTGTTTCATATTTAAATTCTTGTTCTTTTTACACTCACCTCCATTTTTATTCTCCTCACTTTTTGGTGTTAATTGCCTGAAAACAGACCTAATGAATTACTCACGTTCATTGATTTTGAGCCAGAATTCTTCCACCACATTAAAACAATCCAGTTTACAGTCCTTTTCCAGCGTTTTCCAGATCAACTATTCACATCTTCATTGTGTTTTTCCTTTATAGTCCTCCTCCTCCTACCAGTGCAGTGATCATGTTGAACAAAATGCACTAAAAACATTTACTTACCATCTCCCTTTAGTCACACGTGCACAGCTGTGCACTGTTTTAGTGAAGGACATTGATTAATTTGTTGCAGGACACCCTGATGAATCTGGCCAAAGCGGTGGCCAATGCAGCTGCTATGTTGGTCCTGAAGGCCAAGAACGTGGCCCAGGTGGCTGAGGACACCGTGCTGCAGAATCGAGTGATCGCAGCAGCCACTCAGTGTGCCCTGTCCACCTCGCAACTGGTTGCATGCACCAAGGTACAGATCTCATTGTTGTGGGTTTTAAAGAAACACAAAAAATTGCCTGTTTTGTGCAGATGGAGCTTTTGTTTCATATGGCTGCAACTGGCAAGCTAGCACATGCTAAATGTCAACATATTGTGCTCGATTTTGCATTATTGTGTGAAAGAAATGACAGACACATTGCTATTTGCTGTAGAATGTAGGTTTGTCTCAATTAATGCAGATTTTTCCTCTTGGTGCAGGTGGTGAGTCCAACCATCAGCTCCCCGGTGTGTCAGGAGCAGCTTGTCGAGGCTGGGAAGCTGGTTGACCGCTCAGTCGAGACCTGTGTGAAAGCCTGCCGCTCGGCCAGCGACGACAGCGAGCTTCTGAAACAAGTCGCAGCGGCAGCTGGCGTGGTGAGCCAGGCGCTCAGCGACCTGCTGCAACACGTCCGCCACTACGCCAGCTGCGGCGAGCCCATCGGACGCTACGACCAGGCCACAGACACCATCATGAACGTGACTGAAAACATTTTCACGTCCATGGGCGATGCTGGTGAGGCTGCTTTTTGTTAACCTGCTCTAATATGTTTTGACGTCATCAGGGGGCCTAAAATCTTATCTGTATTTGTCTCCACATTAACTAATCCCCCCCCCCCCCCCCAAAAATATCCTGCATTCATGTTCAAAGCTCAGGTTAGTTGTTTTGATTTGACTCACGAGAGGCCAAAACGGTTTCAAAGAAGTCAATTCCCATGAGGTTGCAGGAGACATGTCATCCAAAACCACTACAGAGTTCCTGGTCTGGTCTCAATCAGCATCAGGGAGCCTTTGAAATTTAACAAGAAACACATGACCTGAGAAGACAAACATTTTTCTTCCATAAATTCTCATTAAAACAGGACAAACTGTAACCATGCAGCATAAGCTCTGAGGGGTACTGGTCCGCTCCCAGAGTTACAGTAGAGGTGGTGGATGTCTTCCTCTGACTTTTACAGAGTTATTTTTAAGCTAAAGGTGGGAGTTTCGGAAATGAAGCTCTTTGTAGCGGATGTGTGGGGAGGTGTTTTATATATACTCCAGTGATTTTTCACTTGTGTGAAAGAGGATGAGTCACTGAGAACCAGAAGCTAAAAGAGGAGATAAAGGTGAAAACAATGTGAATCCGTAAGATGATAAATCTTGCCGGGATTTCTCTCTGAATGGACAGAAATAGGATCTTATTTAATATTAATAGGAGATACATTTTCAAGCCTTCGCCATGATCAGTGAGAGAAATGGTCCTGTTATTTTCCTGGTAGCAAGACACAAATTGCAAAAAGCTTAAATGATTATTATTATTATTATTATTATTATTATTATTATTATTATTTACATGGTTCATATTTTTAATCATGTCTTTGGATGTTTTATTGCATCAGAATCTTCAAAAGCAGAATAGTTGACAAGTTTGGTGTGTTTGTGCCTGTATTAATCAGCAGCCACAGTGACCTCTCACTGCATCGATGGAGATTTATTCAGAGTTTCCTTGAAATTACTCACAACCCTGAGAGCTATGTCATGTATCACTGCATCACTGCTCACTCAAACAAAATGATAAATCACCAGATTCTGATTTTGTATCAGTCAGCTGGAACATAAATGTGGATGTTTTATCTGAACAGGCGAGATGGTGCGCCAGGCTCGGGTGTTGGCCCAGGCCACTTCTGATTTGGTGAACGCCATGAGGTCGGACGCAGAGGCCGAAGTCGACGTTGACAACTCCAAGAAACTCCTCGCTGCAGCCAAACTCCTGGCTGATGCCACTGCTCGCATGGTGGAAGCTGCCAAGGTGATCAGTTTTTACATCACTCTGATAATGATACATACTTCATCATTTCACAACTCTTCGCTGTGAATCTGCATGATCTGATAAAATGTGTGCACTTTGTGTGTTTAATCATAAAAGCAGATCTGAACCTAACTGGACTTTTTCCCCTTAGATACAAGAACTTTTTTTTTTCCCCCCACAACAAAAAGCGTGCAGCATTAGTGATTCTTAATGAGGCCCTAACACCTTCGAGCTGAATATTATCCATGTGGAAAAATCCAAGCCAGCGAAACTCTGCATATAGCTCGTTAGCATGCATTTGATCTATGACACATTAATCATCACATCACTGACATTATCAAAGAGGAAGTGAGGATCTGGCACTGATGGTTTCCTTGGAAACAGTCTGAAAGCAGACAGAGTTAAACGCTTCGTTTTTCATCATTCACATAATGTGTACGGTAGTACCAGAGTTACTAAAACTTTTATTGCAAAGATCTGGTGGCATTTGTTGTGTGTATCTGGAATATGTGTGTCACGGCACAGCAGTGTGTGTGTGTGTGTGTGTGCGTGCGTTTGCATATTTCCACGTGTATCCATGAGTGTGTGGTTTGCTGCTCTCAGGGGGCAGCTGCTTACCCAGAGAATGAGGACCAGCAGCAGAGGCTGAGGGAGGCGGCCGAGGGGCTTCGTGTTGCCACTAATGCTGCAGCTCAAAACGCCATCAAGAAAAAACTAGTCAACCGGTTGGAGGTGAGTCATTGGAGGAAACATGATCACATTGATATTTTATCTCTTTTTCTGTGACTTCCTGTGCCAAGGTTATGAATATTTACTGACTTACCAGAAGTTTGCTAGAGGATAGTTTCTTGAACTGCTTCTGGATGGAGAAAAAATCTTTACATATTTTAACACTATGAGATAACGGCTAGTAGTAGTAGCAGTAGTTGTAGTAGTAGTAGTAGTTTACTTTACTAAAGACACAAAAAAGTCCATGTCAAAGGTTAAAAAGAAATGAGGTAAAATAAAAAAAGAAGTGTTAAAGGCTTACATAGAAACTAAAATGCCAATAATCCCGCATATCAGATTAAAACATGGCAGATCTCTGTGTAGGGTTGAACCTACACATACAATTGTACATAAATTCTCATAATGCAGTGTGACTTGTGGGCACATCAACACTCACAGACATTTAACTTGCACTGCACTTTAGCAATTTAAGCATCAACGTCAATCCATCATTGTATGCAACAGAGTTTTCCCGCATGGTGCTTTGTTTGTATTGCTCCCATAGATGGGCAACTTACAAAGGGGAACAATATGCTTTAAAAATGCAGTTTTTACTGAAACAGGACACACACCAGACCTATGTATGCAGTAGACCTCAACTGGTGGCCCGCAGGCCACATCCAGCCCGCCAGACCTGTCCAACGACCCCCAGTTCCGGGGGGAGGGGGGGTATGGGGTCATGGATTTTATCAATATGTTTATCAATAACCCATTACCTATAGTGAAGAGAGAAGGAGACAATGAGCAGACAAGTCAAACAGTTGTAACTGTGACAAGATGCCGAAGCAAGTGCCTCGAACATCTGTTCACAAGGTTTATTTATAGAGAGAGATAAGAGGTAGAGAGAGACTGTGTGTGTGTGTGTGTGTGTGTGTGTGTGTGTGTGTGTGTGTGTGTGTGTGTGTGTGTGTGTGTGTGTGTGTGTGTGTATGAGTAAGTGAGTGTGCAGAGAGCAATACATTACATCCAGTTGATTGAGTCCATGATCAGGAATTAATAAACATAGATTTTTCCATAACGGGGAGACTTTGAAGATTAGCTGCAAAATTCATGCCCCAAATATCATTATTTTTTTTAATTCTCCAAACACAACTACAATCAAAACCATTTAGATGGAAAGTAAAGCCATATTAAATAATAATAAATTAAGATACAACAGTAAATGAACTTTATTTTACAAGAGCATGTGGCCCTTATGGTGTCTGTTAGAAAAAACTCCAGCCCTTGAACAAATTTAGTGGAGGACTCCTGTATGTATACATGTTAGCTTGTGCATGCAGTAACCAGCACTGTCTGGACATGCCCACATCATCAGTCAGTTCAGCACATATTTAGTGTCTCAAGGAGTTCGCCACATCTAGAACAGCAACTGATAAAAAAAGAGGAAGTCAGGAAATACCAGTTAACTGTCCTCCTTAGAGCTTACAGTCAGATGATTGCTCTTTCTGGCATTTCAAGTGTTTTGCAGCTCAAATCTTCAAAATCTAATGAGAAATAATTGCAACTTTAACACTGCCATCACATTTGCATTACTCTGTTATTTGCATGGAATTTCATGTTTATTTATGAGTGTAAATATCACCAGTAGCAAAATGTAGCACACGCGGTACATTCAGAGGTCAAGTCCAGGAGGATCTTCTGAATATTTCTTCCAGATTAACTGTCTAAAATTAAAAATGGTGGACAGTGTGATGGTTTATAAAATGATGTTTCATGAATCACTGTGAGAATTTGTAGATTGGAGCAGTTTTGCAATGGTAGCATTACAGTTTGACCTTGGCAGGGCTCAGACTAGCCTTTAGCTTGTCAGTCCTGTAGAATATAAACTCTGTTCCTCCTAACAGAAGTTGAACCCAGCAACAGATAAATAAACAATCGTTTATAGCTTTTACACAGAAATGGCCAAAATATAATTTCAAATCTTCTCATTGAATTTCCAATTTTTAATGCAATACATTTTTTTCATCTTTGAAAAATAAAAACTACATAAATTTAGTCAAACTTTAAGAAAACAAACATGAAATGTCACTTTTTATATTAGTTTAATGTTTTTTTTTTCCTTCACTATAATGAGCTGTAAATCCCATTAATGCTCAGCTTGCAGTATCTTTGTTAAGATCTGAGTTTAGCCCTTGGTATCAGTTTGCCCCCTAATGACTACCACCTTTCTGCTCTGGAGCACCCAATGTTCAATTTCCCAGGCACATGAACTATTCATTATCCAGCGGCTGGGATCAGCCTGCTATCAGACATGCATGTGAGTCTGCCTCTTTTCATCAGATGGTCACAGTAACGGCGCTAATGGTTGCCTCCATCACACAAGCTTGTAACACAGTCTAGAAGAGCGTTATTAATCTCTGAGTGTGCTTGTAACAATTATCTCACAGACATTAAGACGACCCGTATTTTGTTGCACAGAGACCAAGTTAATGTCTGTTGGTTGTAGATGTAGTTTTTGTTGATGCACATGCAGGATTCTGCTAAAAATATTCTACAGAATACTGAAAATAAATCCTACAAACTGGGATATAACTTTAATTAACCACATGTTATAATATCTCACATTTTAAATGTATTTCAGCCCTGTCTCCTTTTCTTTTCCACAGGAAGTCTGCTGTTTAAGTTTAGTTATTTCTGCAAAGTTAATCATGAATAAATGTAAGCTAAGAAGTATATTTCAGCTGTTTTTTTTTAGAAAAATGGTTATCATGACATAACTGAGCAAAGCAATTCGTTCTTCCTCCAAAACATTTTGGCTGTGACTTTCCTGGTCTGATAAAAACTCGGCCTGAGCGCAGAACATGATAATATAATACAGAACAGATCAAACACGAATCTTTGCCAGACACTCCTTTTCTTTTAGCTTTAGACTTAATTGTCTCCATTTACTTCTTGCACACAGATAGCTGCTAAGCAGGCGGCGGCTGCTGCGACTCAGACCATCGCAGCTGCTCAAAATGCTGCTGCATCCAACAAAAACACCGCCTCACACCAGCAGTTGGTGCACAGCTGCAAGGTATGCTCATCAGCATATTTTTACTACTGCAGATACCTATTTGTCTTTGGTACCTCCTGCAACACGTTCTTCTTCTAGTCTTGATAGTGCAGCATATAAAGGATGCATTAGGAGTTGATTTCATTCCAGGCGGTAGCAGACACTATTCCCCAGTTGGTGCAAGGGATGCGGAGCAGCCAGGCCCAGCCTGAGGAGCTCGGCCCACAGCTCGCTCTCATCATGGCTAGTCAGAGCTTCTTGCAGGTTAGGATGCACCATTCATTTAGTCTAATATTGCAATCTCAAGGCACACAGTAATACGCAATATTCTAAATTTCCTTTTCCCATTTTGTCAGCCTGGAAGTAAGATGGTGACGTCTGCAAAGTCAGCAGTTCCAACAGTGGCTGATCAGGCTGCTGCTATGCAACTGGGCCAATGTGCCAAGAATTTAGCAACCTGCCTGGCAGAACTCAGGACTGCCACACAGAAGGTAGCAATAAACAAAACTGTCAGAGATAACAAGTTTCCTTCTATTGAAACAGGAAATGTGCTGTTTTATACAAATCCGGATGTTTGATCTCTCTGACATCAGCAGCAGAAGCTTAAGGCACATTTTGTCTGCTCTAAATAAATGGATTTGATGTACTTAATATTTTTGTTTGGTTATTTTAAGGCCCATGAAGCCTGTGGCCCTCTGGAGATCGACTCGGCCCTCAAGACTGTACAAACGCTGAAAAGTGAGCTTCAGGATGCTAAAATGTCAGTAATCGATGGGCAGCTTAAACCTCTTCCTGGAGAAACGGTCAGTTGATAGTGATGTACATAATACAGAACATTAAATATCACATAGACACAATGTTATCTAAAACTGAAAGTCTTACGACTCGTTAGCACATAAATTACTCAAGTTTTCATTACCCCAATTCACAATGTTGCTCACTCCGTTCAGCAGAACAGCTTCATGGTTTATGCTTGACGCATGTACATTCCGCACGGAAATGAGACGTGCGGATGAAACGTGCATCGGAACTTGCAGCAATTATGGTTCCTTCCTACCCTCTGCGGCTTGCCTCCGCTGTGAGCCAATCTTCTCCCAGACTGTAGGGGGCGGCATGGGGCTCTACACCATAGTAGAAGTAGAAATTTCTGTACTTCACAACATTTTTTCCACTGTGTCTTTGTCATTTCCGACTGTGACAACAATTATTAACACTATTATGATCACGGTGATTTTTATGGACTGAACCATGAAGACGTCTGTACTTATGAACTACTAGCACTTGCCAGTCTGCTGTGTTTTTCTGTGCAGGACCGTCCACGTGGTTAGAAAATTACCTAGGTGCGCAGTGCGGAAACTTTGAGCCACGCCGAGGAGCGCGATTGCTTAAATGACGTAATTTGGCTGTGCGGCCCTTGCGGACATGTCAAGCATAAGCCAAGCTTAAGTAGACAGTGTTTCCCTGCTCTTCAACACTTTGCTAGATTTGGACAAAAACAATAACTTTAAAATCAACTTTTTTAATATGAAAAATTTGCCTGAGAATAAATGAGTGAAATAATACCACGTTCAGTGTTTCATCAATGATTAAAAGCATGGGCATGAGCCCAAATCATGATACAACCGACTCATTGTTCCCCAGACAGGCTGAAGCTCTTCTTATCCTGCCTCTGTTTACATCTAAACCTGAATGTTCTGCTGTATTTACAACAGTTTACATATCAGTTACTCAGCAGCCTTCTGGCCCGTCCAGAAGAATTTTATCAAACAGCACATGGACAGTAATCGTTTGTGTCAGAATCAGCGAATTTGCCTGTGAAGTCTTGTACTTTGTTATTGCTCAGTGTTCTGATGGTGGACTCGAACTTTAACAGCAGATCTTTCACAAAAAGCGGGGCTGCTACATGCTCGGCTCTCAGACTGATCATTTTGGTTCACAAACTGTCAGCTAACATAAAATGCTTTTTTTTTCTTCTTCTCTCAAATCATTCTTGGTGCTTCTCATGCAGCTGGAAAAGTGTGCTCAGGATTTGGGAAGCACATCCAAGGCGGTTGGCTCCTCCATGGCTCAGCTGCTGACATGTGCTGCGCAGGGCAACGAACATTACACAGGTACTGGATTCTAACATTAGCCTGAAGTTGACATGTTTTCTTATGATTCACCTCATTTTCTCCTACTTGATTTGTTCTATTGCTGCAGATATTACACAAATATTTGCATCGCTGAGTGAAATATTTACTCATTTCATGTTTTTTTTTTTACGTTTCTAAATGGAGTCCTAGGAATCCAGCATAAGTTGACTGTTTTGCCATCAATTCTGGTTCACTGGGTCTCGGTGGAGTGGAGTTAAAGACAAATAGAGAATAACATTTTCAACAGCGAGAATTTCCAGGCCCTGCTTCATGCTGTGGCCCAGGGTGTTGCTCGCTGCTCATTAATCTTTTTTTTTCTTTGCTGGATTTAACATTCCATCAGCAAATGGCTCCACTCCACTGGTTAATGTAATTTGATGCAATTTGCTGCTTTTTAGCTTGATGTGTAATAATTTAAGACCACCTCCCACGTGGGGCCAAATTTATTATTTTACCTCATTTATTTAGACAATGAGGGCATTACAGTAATATAGTTCAGTCACAGCAAGGTGCTGCTGATTTATGCAATGCTTTTAGATTTAAACACAATTTACACATGTGCATTTTATTACTTAAGCAGGTCTGCTGCTACAAACGAAGATGGCAATTAATAAAATGGGAGGATTGCATTTTTTTATACAAGTCAAATAATAATGGTATGCATGACTAATTTGTCTCATCAATTAATTTGATTTAGTTTTTGTTGCTGTGATGAATTGTTTGCAGGGGTTGCTGCTCGAGAAACGGCGCAAGCTTTGAGGACGTTGGCGCAAGCAGCACGAGGTGTGGCAGCTAGCACCAAGGAGCCTCAGGCTGCAGCTGCAATGTTGGACTCAGCCCAGTATGTGATGGAGGGTTCGGCCATGTTGATCCACGAGGCGCATCAGGCTCTGGTTCACCCAGGAGATGCGGAGAGTCAGCAGAGACTGGCACAGGTAGCTCCAGTCCTTGAAAATGTTTGGTATTTTTAAAGCACCGTATTCAAATTGATATTTCTTTGATGTAATGATCATTTATATACTGTGTGTTGCATTCATAACAGTGCAGATGTTGCACTGAGCAGGAGACTCATACAGGCTTTGGTCTTCCTCAGAAGATAAACATTTTTGTCACTGAAACATTTTTTCAGTCATGAATCCTACTCGATGCTTCTCGCCCTCCTCCTCTTACATTCAGTGATTTGTATCATTAATTGCCATTAATAAAATCTTTGTTGAACATTTTACAATAGTTCATCACCGCGAGACGATGCATGGCAACAATAAGTGATTTCTCCCTTCCCTGCTGATTTGTAAATATTTCTGTTTCTCCACACAAATCATCTTCGCTAAATGTTGCTAAATGTTGCTATTTTCTTCTCGCCGAGTCTTTGTTGCATGGCGTTCCTCCCTCAGGAGTGAAACCGTTCATTTCCTGTAAACCTTTAGGAGATAAACACGTGTATAGCATAAATCTGCGGCAGCAGCAAAAAAATTGTGACATTGCTGTGAGCTCCATTTGCATTTGAGATGTTTTCTTTTCCTCTCTGAGCAGCTTTGCTGTTACTGTTTTGCACATTGTTAGAATGGGTAACGACAGCCCATTACCAAATGCTGTGTTTTATTTCAGGTGGCCAAAGCCGTGTCGCACTCCCTCAATAACTGTGTGAATTGCCTGCCAGGCCAGAAGGACGTCGATATGGCTCTAAGGAGCATCGGAGAAGCCAGCAAGAAGCTACTAGTTGACTTTGTGAGTCCTGCTCAAGCCAAACATATTCAACACTCAACTGAACAAGCTGCTTTTATTTGACCACTCCTGATATTATGCACCATGGCAAAATAACCTGTCCTGTCTTTCAAGCTCCCTCCCTGCAATAAGACATTCCAGGAGGCCCAGACTGATCTGAACCACACAGCAGCTGAACTGAACCACTCAGCAGGAGAGGTCGTCCACTCATCTCGTGGAACAAGCAGCCAGCTGGCTACAGCCTCAGGGAAGTTCAGCCAAGACTTTGATGAGTTCCTGGATGCTGGCATAGAGATGGCAGGACACACCCAAGTACGTTTTTACGATCACGCAGCCGCCCCAGCACATTCTGCTCAGATGAGATTCCACTCCAGCCTTTAGTACTTTGATGGCCCCTAAGTCTTAGATACAAAGATCATCTTGATGTTTCTTTGATAACTAAGATGGTGTTTAACACTAAAACTCCCAAGGCAGTCATTTTGGCTCTTTTCATATTTTAATATAGCTTTAGTTAGACAGATCTCACATTGTCCTGGCTTCCTGAAAATGTAGTTTTTCTCCCCCACAAATGGCTCCATATTTACATGGTACATTTTTCTCATGAGTCACAGACAGGTTCACCATTGCTAAGCAACGCACCTTCCACCTTGGGTGTTTACTATCTGGTCATTTCACATGTAATTTGGCTGCTACACTGGCTTTTATAAGAAGGTTCTCTGTGAAACAGGCGTTAGAAATGATGCTGCTTTGAGCGCAGAGGAGAAATCTGATGAAAACTGGTGACTGGGAAATGGATGAGACTCTGACGCTACTCGGAGATGATCTCTCACCCCCCGTAAAAATGATTGTGTTGGTCACCTAGCAAATTTCTTTGGCTCTTCTAAGGTTTGGATTACAATTATCTTTTCTTCCCGTATTATTAGGTTTACAGATCCATAATGAGTTTTTCTCCATGCATCATCACCAGCTTTCATTTAAAGCTGCAATGGCAAATTTGGAAAACAAATTTAAAAACATTTTTTCTTCATGCCTCTTAACGTTCTAACATAGTACCTATAAATGTACTGTGGAGATTTTTTTTAATGAAAAAAATGTATAAAGTGGTTTTCTCACACTTGTCTCAAAACTTCCGACAATAACACATTTCTGGCCTAAAGCAACTATCGGACCGTTTGGTTGTCGGTCTCGCCAAACCACCACACTTCCGCACTTCCCTGGGTCCTCTGGTTATAACCTGTTTTGGGAATGTTACTTTAAAAAGGGAATTAGTTATAGTTACTAATTACGTTGTAGAAAATGTTACTCATATAGTTACTGAGTTACAAGATTATAAAAGTAAATAATTGCCAAGAACAATAACCATTGTGTTACTTTTTTCATAAAAACAATTCTAGAAAAATTGGATCCCCTCTTAATTAAACTCACTTAATTTACTATAAATTACTTCAGTGCTAAAATCTAAATGACTGAATAGATTTGAACATAAAAAAATGTATGTACAAATGTTTATTATAAAACTGAAACATTGGAATAAATGGGCACTGGACAGAAAAAAACATGAAACATGACACTGATCTAAACTATTAAAATGTCACTGTGTGAAATGAAACAAGACCCCAATCAACTAAATGTTATAATTGCAAACACCTTCATACAAAACATCCAAAACACCAGCAAAGAGTTCCTGGGCCTTTATGTGGTCTCTCAGTCAGTCGAATTACCAAAACAAATGCAATTTTGCACAGTATTTTTATTTTTTCTGTTTCACATGATCGTGTGTTTCCACTAGTATTTCTATCACTCATGATCTATAACAGAATATCTATGAGTAAGAATCCTTAAAAATTACACTAGAAAAGGCACAAATCAGATCGAGGACTAAACTTGGGTCAGACCCAAACACAGAAGTGATGAAGCTGGGTGTGGAGACACTTAATAACACCTGAGCTACATGACTTGTGAGACTGAAACAGTCAATGTTACAGTGGGACTAAATAAATGGTCAGGAACAGGTTCCATTTGGATGATCTAGGAATATAGATCGTGACGAGGAATTAATGAACTGACGTGTGAGTGGTAAACAGGTGAGTGGACCTTCAGGAAGTCCCGCTGTCATGCCAAGAAGGGTACAGACCAACAGACCACAGAACAGATTCGCGCCTGCAGCAGTGAGTCTGTGGGTCATCGGGTCTGCAGTCATAGACGATTCCTCACGTCTTCCTCATTCCTCACTAGCTGCGATGACGCTCCTTTAGCTCCCGATCAGCTGATGACGGGTCGGCTTCAACGCACCTCGCTGCTGAATTATAGTAACGCACGCATTTTCTTATCAGTAACAGAAATGGTGTTATGACAAAAGAAGACAGTAATTAATTTGATTATTAGTTACTAAAATAACTAACTTCCATTAGTAACGTTGCTGTTTAAATGCAGTTATTCCCATCACTGCTCATAACGCACTCACGTATTTAGCAACAGAACACCACTGGTGTGAGAGGTTCGTGGCTCAATAATATCAGAGAAGGAGAAACAGCCGGCTGCTACCACTTCAACTTCAGGACAAACTACCAGAGTCCCATAGAAGAAAACACCATTTGACGTCACGGACAACAAAAGACCTAGAAAATTACACCTGGTGTTAATCATTATCTTGTTTCTTCAAGCATCACAAGTTTCTGGTTCCGGCAAAGGCGTCTCAGGGAAGAAACCTAGCTTGTTCTGTAAATTCGCTAAAGCAGCATTAATGACCAGAATGACAGCCATCACACTGTCTCTTAGTGGGAGTTCTACTGTTAAAGACATTTGTTTAACTTTTTCATCCCATCGCCGGATTGCCTCTAGAGCTGTAGATCTTTCCTGAGTAATGAGATCTTGTGATGTTTAGTGTTAGTCTTGGATTGAAGCTGATGCAATGCGACACCCAAGTTTGTATCAGGTTCAAAGAGAAAACGCTGGGTGGTAGTGATGCAATAAAGGCATGGTTTCATTTTTTTATTGCAAGATTATAGTTTTCTAAGCATTTTGTTTTTGTATTTAAAAGAACTACTGAGTCCATGCTGAAAGACATTTTGTTTTTCTTGTGTCATCAGAGCAAAGACGACCAGATCCAAGTTATAGGAAACCTCAAGAACATCTCTATGGCTTCCAGTAAGCTGCTGCTAGCTGCCAAGTCTCTGTCTGTGGACCCAGGTGCTGCTAATGCAAAGAATCTTCTAGCTGTGGCAGCAAGGTGGGATAATATTCAGACCATGCAGATGTGTATTGATTTGATGACTATCATACTGTTTCGATGCTGGTCTTGATTACTAAAGCATGATGGATTAAGAAGATGTCTCCCTGCTGCATCTGTATGTCACTCCTACAACATGTGTCTGTTTGGCCTTGCTAAAGGGACCCTCCCCTTCATGGAAAGAAGCCAAGCAGCTGGTCCCACGGGGCTTTAGGCCTGACTGACTTCTCTCTGTCTAATTAGGAGGATGGAAGCTTTGGCTAGAGCCTGTCTGTGCTCAGCAAGGCTGAACACAAATTCAAGACTATCTCAGTACCCCTGTGAGCAGCGTTATCCAATCGCAGCGAGAAGCCAGAATTGCTATGCTTGAATGGGGGAGCTAAAAGCATGTGTGAATGAAGCCAGCCCCTGCATGCATGCAGAGGACACATGTGAGAGTGAAAGTACCTTCCTGTGTGTTTCAGGGCAGTGACAGAGAGCATTAACCAGCTGATAACGCTCTGCACCCAGCAAGCAGCAGGACCAAGGGAGTGTGACAATGCCTTGAGGGAGTTGGAGGTAGCTGTCCTCACACTCTCTCCACCACATGCAAACAAACACCGCATTTGTTCCGATTAAAGCCTTTTATTTATAATTAAAATTCAAAGATCCATTAACTGTATCGGTCACTTTTTGGTCATGCGTTTTGCATTAGAAATCTTCATTTTTATTTTCCACTTTCTGATAATGTTACATTGTCTTTTGCTGTCAAAATTGGTCTTTACAGCTTGATTTTGATCTCTTTAAAGTTAGTAATAAATAGATTAAATTATAGGCAATGATCATCTAGTCTGTGTCTCTTAATTTGAGTTTGATTTGATTTGTTGGTGAATAAACAGAGTTATCACAACAGAAAATGTTCAGTGACGTAGTTGAAACCATTAACATTTCCATCTGTGCACAGGCTGTCAGAGGTCTCCTAGGCAACCTCAACGAACCTGTGAATGAGCTCTCCTACTTTGACTGTATTGAAAGCGTCATGGAGAACTCTAAGGTGCATTGCACTGTTTAGTTTTACTGTCAGGGGCACTTTATGCAAAAGACCACTGAAGATCTCATTTGCATACTTTTATTTTTCTCAGGTTCTGGGAGAGTCGATGGCAGGCATTTCCCAGCACTGTAAAACAGGCGATGTGTTAGCCTTTGGGGAGAGTGTGAGTTTAGCATCCAAAGCTTTATGTGGGCTGACAGAGGCTGCGGGACAGGTGAGATCACAGCATCTTATCAACATTCTCTGGTTGCTACCCTGCACCTGTTGTCATCTCAGCTTTCTTCTGTTTGCAGTTTGTTTACTATGTCTTCAGAATTTAAATTCCAATAAAAAGACAAAAAACAACAATTCATTCTCTAAAAGGCCCATTGAATCTTCATGTAGACCGTGTGTGTACTTATATACACACATGTAGGTCAGAGCCTGAATTAATCTATTATCCCAAGTATAATCTCGACATAATCATTTGTTTTTGACTCCACAGGCCTCGTATCTCGTGGGTGTGTCCGATCCCAGTAGTCATTCTGGTCATGAAGGTCTGGTGGACCCCATTCAGTTTGCACGGGCCCACCAAGCTATACAGATGGCATGTCAGAACCTGGTGGATCCAGCCAGCAGTGCTTCACAGGTGAGATGGTGCATCACCAGCAGCAAATTATAGCTAAACTGTTTCCTGACATATGGAGATTGCAAAATCAATGAAGAAGACTGAAGTCAACATTAGAAAACAGAGGTAGATAATTAGCCACAAACAGATGTCATTATGGGATAAGCCACCTGTTAGGCTGGATCTATGGGCTTTGTGTTAGCAGGCTACTTTCAAGGCACTTGACTCAATACAAAATCTGTGGAACACAAGAATTCATGTGGTTGTTACTTTTCAATGCACCATAACTTAAACAGAAACACTACATTTATCACCTTTTTTCTAATTCCTTTGTGTATAAGGTCTTGTCAGCAGCAACCATCGTAGCCAAGCACACCTCTGCTCTCTGCAACGCCTGCCGTCTAGCTTCTTCTAAAACCTCCAATCCCGTGGCGAGGAGGCAGTTCGTCCAATCAGCCAAAGAGGTGGCCAACACCACGGCCAACCTCGTGAAGACCATCAAGGTCAACTCCCCAACTGATCAAAACGTTGAGTGTAAATTTGTTATTGGTTTTTCAGTTTTTGTGCCAAGTGAGAAGTTGCAGATGTTGTATGTATTATTTATTATTCTTTCAAGAATAACATCAAAAGAAAAAGAAAAAGGACGAAAACCTTTTCATGGAAAGTTCTCTTGTTGTAGGCTCTAGACGGGGATTTTTCTGAGGAGAACAGGAACAAGTGCCGTGCTGCTACAGCTCCACTCCTCGAGGCTGTAGAAAACCTCTCAACCTTCGCCAACAATCCTGACTTTGCAAGCATCCCACCTCAGATCAGTAATGAGGTAATCACTTTTTGGGCTGGAATGTTTCCAGTGAACTATGTTCAATATGTTTATTTATTGTTTATTGTGTATGCAGTGTTACTTCCTTTTGACGGTGGCCAATAATGTTTTTGCCTCTGTCTGTGTATCTGTTTGCATTTTTATTGCATTAGGCAAGGCAGTTTTATTTGTATAGCACATTTCAAACACAAATGATATTCAAAGTGCTTTACAGAAGCAAGAACAGCAAACACTGTAAAACAAACAAAGAAATGTAGGTATTCATTTCAGATTTAACCAACAAATAAAGGGCATAGTCAAAAGATGAGCAGTTACAGTGCAGAAAGTGCAGCATAAGACACATTTATTCAAAGGCTAATGAATACATGGAGGTTTTAAATTTTGATTTAAAAGTTACTAGATTTGGGGCAAATTTGAGGTCATGAGGAATTTGATTCCATCTGTGTGCAACATTGTAGCTAAAAGCAGCTTCACCCTGTTTGGTTCTGACCTGAGGTTTTAGCAGCTGACCGTTTCCCAAAGATCTGAGAACGCTGCTGGGTGTGCATATACAGGAAAGAGCCATACCATTGAGAGATCAATAGACTAGTAAACGCACTTTGCAGTGGATTCTGTAGTTTACTGGTAACCAGTGTAGGGATTACGAACAGGAGTGATGTGCTCAGTTCTTGTGAAGACCCTAGCAGCAGCATTTTGAAGAAGCTGCAGTTGTTTTACAGCTGTTTTGGGGAGACCAGTTAGGTTGGACATTTGCAATGGTTTTCTATCTCACGAGTGTCTGGATGAATATGAATGAAATGTTCATGTTGTAGATGGGTGTACATCTTCAACTGATTACCATCGACTTCCTTCACTGTTGCCAACTTGCCTTAGAAAATGCTAAACTGCTATAACTCCACCAATTTTTGCTGATGTTGAACTATAATGTCAGCTGGTGGGAGCTGAGAGTCATCCTCAACATTTACTCAATTGCTAACAAATCACACAAGCTCTTGTGGCATTGTGCAGGCTTGCTTGTAACGTTTATTTTAAGATTAGACTAAAACAGCTCTAACTCCATCCTTACGGCATTCCTTAAAGCAGCGATTCTCAATTATTTTCAGTGAAGCTTCCCCTATGCATCTAATGTTTTGCTCCCCCTTCGCGGGATGTTAGAGCGGAGTGGGGTGCACGCGGACCTTCCGGTGTATCTGCATGTATCAGTTTATGTCCAACAGGGGTGGGCATCCCACTAATTGAGAACCACTGCTAAGTAACATAGAACCAGTAATTCCCATGTTTTTATCTTTTCACTTGCTAATGCGTAATTCAAATAGAAGGTAAATATATTCATGAATGTCTAATTTGATAGTGCAGCCTGTGTTTATTCCTAAGAAAGACTTTCCAGCTGACTGAAACTGGTCACTGATCCGCATTTTGTTCCGTTTTTGAAAAGTTTTGAAAGTTTCAAGGTGGATTTTTAGTTTTCAATTTTAGCAGAGCAGCACTTGCAGATTCCTCTGAAAGCGTTATGCCTGTAATCTGTTGGAGGGCAACACATGCTCTCACTACAGCCGCTGTAATCTTCAGTTTGTTAATCTAATAGTCAGGGGAGGTTTTCGTAAAGATTGAAGGTGTTACTTTCTATGTCTGTGCAAAGCTGCCTTTCTAATCTCATCCCTCTGTTTGATTGCACTTTTGATCTTTCCACGGTAGTCAAAGAATATTAACGTTGGACCAGCGTGGCTACGGTAGCTGCAGGCTGTTCAGCTGCTACCTGCACTGTTGTTTCACCTCCACTAATCTTTTCATTTCCCCCAGGGCTCAGCATCTCAGGAGCCTATTGTGCGTTCAGCCCGCTGTATGCTCGACAGCTCCACTTACCTTATAGAAACAGCCCGCTCACTGGTCCTCAACCCCAAAGATCCCCCTACCTGGTCCATTCTAGCCGGGCACTCCAGGACGGTTTCAGACTCCATTAAAAGTCTCATCACCTCTATTAGGTTGGTGCAAATCACTTCTGCTTCTATGCAGTTAGTGTGAATCAAAGATCATAATTGTGTTTTCACAGCTGGAAGAAAATAGTTTCTGATGTGGGATCAGCTAGGCAGTAAATAGCACATTTAAAGTTGCTAAGATCCCTGCTGTTTTCTAAGAGATTAGATAAGAACAGGAGGGGTGAGATGATGAGCTCTGGTCATTTGGTTTTATGTTCTGGATGTTATGATGGATAAAGATGATCGTTTTCACATGAAGAGAACATGTTTACCATAGCTTGTAAAACACTGTTTTTGTTATTAATTAAATATATTTGTTATTTGTTCTCATTAGTCACACTTTATTTATTTGTCTTGCGACAGGGACAAGGCACCAGGTCAGCGAGAGTGTGACTACTCCATTGATAACATTAATAAATGTATCCGAGACATTGAGCAAGCTTCTCTGGCTGCTGTTGGGCAGACCCTGCCCTGCAGAGATGACATCTCCATGGAAGTACGTTCAGCTACACCATCAGCTCTGTCTTGTTTAACAGAAATAACTGAGATCTGTAGCAGTTCTGAAGTGACTTATGTTGTAATTTTCTGCTGGTCTAACTCAACAGGCACTCCAGGAGCAGCTGACGTCCTCTGTGCAGGAGATTGGTCATCTGATTGATCCTGTCTCCACAGCAGCACGAGGCGAAGCTGCCCAGCTAGGACACAAGGTGCTGGTCTCGCCATGTATCACCTTATTTTCTTTTCTTCTTCTGTGATGTAGTTCAATCCTGTCTTCAATCAGTTTTTTAAAACTCTTTTTTCCAGGTGACCCAGTTGGCTAGTTACTTTGATCCACTGGTTGTGGCATCAGTGGGCCTGGCCTCAAAGCTGCATGACCACCAACAGCAGATGACCATCCTAGATCAGACCAAGACCTTGTCTGAGTCCGCCCTTCAGATGCTCTATGCGGCCAAGGAAGGCGGGGGGAACCCAAAGGTAAAGTCTCAGGCCTGTAGGTACTGCTATATGCAGATTCAATTAGCAATTTTAAAACAATCATTTGGTCTACTTTCTTCAAGAGTCAGTTTTTATTTCAACAAAGTTTAGAAACATTTTTTATGTTGAACTGTATGTAATCTTATCTAGTTTGGATTAAAGTAGATCACCAAACATTTGGTTATGCTCCATCCATCCATCCATTTTTGGCCACTTATACAGGGTCGAGTCGCGGGGGCAGCAGCCTAAGCAGGAAGGCCCAGACTTATCTCCCCAGGAACTTGGACCAGCTCCTACGGGGGAACCCTAAGGCGTTCCCTGGCCAGCCGAGAAACATAGACCCTCCAGCATGTCCTGGGTCTCCCTTTAGGTCTTCTCCCGGTTGGACGTGCCCGGAAAACCTCATCAGGCAGGCGTCCAGGAGGCATCCTTACTAAATGCTCAAGCCGCCTCAACTGGCTCCTCTCAATATGGAGGAGCAGTGGATCTACTCCGAGCTCCTCCCGGATGACTGAGCTTCTCACCCTATCTCTAAAGGAGAGCCCAGAAACCCTGCGGAGAAAGCTCATTTTGGCCGCTTGTATCTGTGATCTCGTTATTTCAGTCACTACCCAAAGCTTGTGGCCTTAGGTGAGGGTTGGAAAGTAGATCGACCAGTAAATCGAGACCTTGCCTTCCAGCTTAGCTCTCTGGTCACCGCGACAGATCAGCACGATGCCTGCATCACTGCAGACACCGCCTGTCGATCTTACGCTCCAGCTTTCCCTCACTCGTGAACAAGACCCCGAGATACTTAAACTCCTCTACTTGGGGCAGGACCTCGTCCCTGACCCGGAGAAGGCATTCTACCCTTTTAGAAGACCATGGTCCATGGTCTCGGTTTTAGAAGAGCTGTTTCTAATCCCAGCTGCTTCACACTCTGCTGCAAACCGCTCCAATGAGAGCCAGAGATCACGTTCTGATGAAGTCAACGGGACCATATCAGAGACTCAACAGTCAGGCCACCAAAACGGATCCCTTCAACACCTTGGCTATTAAGTTACAAGTCAGTTCACAATAAAATTGTGGGCTTGTCCGGGATGCTTTAAAGGGACTTTACGGAGTTTTGAATTTTTATGCTCGCGATTAGGGTTGTCACGGTATGAAAATTTAACCTCACGGTTATTGTGACCAAAATTATCACGGTTTTCGGTATTATCGCGGTATTTTTTAAACGGTGTTGCATATGTTCAGAAAGCATTGATAGTCCTGTTCGACACAAACTGAAATAGTTCTGAAAAGGTTTAACAGTGTTTATTAAACCTAAAATAACACAAAGCCTTAGCAAAAGTGCAACTTTTCACAAGTAAAGGAACAAACAGCTTATTTTTCTGGAACATGTTACAGTAGTCAGTGCAGGTTTAAATTATACAAATCCAAACATTCAAAACATAAACAATATGTAAACAAATCAAAGAAACACCACTTGTTTTCTCATATACTTGTTTTCTTCATTATCAAAATGAAAATCTAAAACTCCAGTCCACACTTGACTTGAGCACTGTACAAGTCAACCTTAAAAAATATGTATTTAAAATAAATATCCACTTTAAACAAATTACTAAAATAACTACTACACTATGTAATCAAATCCAAATGTTCAAGTATAAATGGCATTGAATAAGTAAACAAATCCATGACAAGGAACTAATTGTATATTTCTCTTCATCATCAACAAATAAGATGCTTCATCCAGCAACAGGGTGTCCGTGACACGGTTTAAATGCTGCCAGAGGACGCTGCGGCTGCAGTATATAGTGACTCGTTGCATTCTCCCTCAACCAAAAGTCCTCGCGTCATGCATTTAAGCTAAAATGCTAATGTTAACTTACCTTGCACCGGCTGTGGAGACGTGGGTGATCGTCACGCAGATGTGCCATGAGATTTGAAGTGTTGCTGCCTTCTGCAGACACTTGTTTCCTGCACGTTCTGCAAACGGGATAGCCGTCTTCTATTAACTGTCCCTCAGCATTTTTCAGAAATCCCAAATATGCCCATACTTCCGATTTAGTCTTCTTTGAGGGCTGATGGATGTCCTGGGCGCTGCCGTCGCCTCCTTCGGCCATTATTTCAGCTTCAAAGTTTTGGTTCCGTTGCAAATTAAAAAGTGTGTGTGCGCGCAGCGGGAACTTCAGCTGAAGCGACGGTGGCTGGTAAGGGTCATCGCGCCGAAACCGCGGCCACGGTAAACCCACCGAGATAATATAGTTTTTTAAAAACTGGACGGTTATTTTTATTGTCAACTTTTTTACCGGGGTTTACCGCTATACCGGTTACCGTGACAACCCTACTCGCGATTGCCCCCTCAGGCCAAAAGCGTAACAGCAGCTTCAAAAGTAGGCTCGTGCACGAGGCGCGCATGCTGTTCGTGCACAATCCTTAACGAAAATAACAGCTGAGACAGTCCCGTGTGTGTGTGTGGGGGGGGGGGGGGGGGGGGGGGGGGGGGGACAGGAGAACGCACAGCTAATTAATTAAATAATTTGGTTCTGTACCTTTCTCTTCAGCACAGCCGACAAAGGTTTATGATGGGTCAGTCTCCCTGCATTCTCAGATCATGCCCTTCACTTGCTTGAAAAATTGTTCCAAAATGAGTTGAAACCACATCTTTTTTATCTGTGAATTCAATGCCATTCGGCGTCTGCTCTATCTGTAACATTTATATCCTTAATGACAGCTGAAACAACGTTCAAAGAACGGTTCGGAGCGAAATGGCAATTTTGTTGCTAATTTGCAGGAAATATCTAGAAGAAAGAAGCTAAGGGTCCTCAGAAATGTAGCTAGGTTTATCACTACACGTTAGGAACAGCGACAAAGTCGCTGAGTTGGCACTACCTCTCTCTCTGCTGCTAAAGTTACGGATAGCAAATGCTACGGCGATGCCTGAGCGTGAACGCACATGAAGCAGCCTGCTTGACCCGAGCAGCTCTCTTTTTCTGTGATTTTACAGAAAAACAGGCAATCACAGTATAAATGCCAGGGCTCATTCTACAGAACCAGGGCATTGCAGGAGAATGTATGAAGAAGAAATTTATTATTTCTATACATGTTTTGGCTGTCAGACTTCCATAATGCCCCTTTAAACTTATAGTGGAATATGAGGTTGTCTGGCAACCTGTTTTCAGATTGTGTGTGTGTGTGTGTGTGTGTGTGTGTGTGTGTGTGTGTGTGTGTGTGTGTGTGTGTGTGTGTGTGTGTGTGTGTGTGTGTGTGTGTGTGTGTGTTGTGTTGTGTTGTGTTGTGTTGTGTTGTGTTGTGTTGTGGTAAACCCTTATGCAGTGGCGTGTAACACATTAATCAAACCTGGTTAATGTCATTGAATTAATCAAATTTGCGAGTATAGGAATGTGTGTTCACAAGTACTCTTTTAGTCTCGTTAATCAGTTAATGAGCAATTATTTTCACTTAACACTTGAACAGCTTTTCTCACACACTATCACTCACCGGTGAGTATATCCGTGCTGATACTAAGACATTTTTACATTTGAACCAGGATTTGAACCAGCAGCAATGCAATTTCAGAATAACTGTTGATGAGCTACAATAGGATCGATTTTCTTGCAGATATGTATTAACAGCTCAGTCTTTTGCTGATATTTTGCCATGATTCTGTTTCACGGTTGACCTTTTTGGGGCGACGGTGGCACAGGAGTTAAGTGCTCTCCCTGTAGTCGGAAGGTTGCAGGTTCAAGCCCCACTCAGTTTGTCGCTATCGTTGTGTCCTTGGGCAAGACACTTAACCCCCCTTGCCTGCTAGTGGTGTTTGAAGGGACCAGTGGCACCAGTGCTTGGCAGCCTCGCCTCTGTCAGTGCACCCCAGGGCAGCTGTGCTACATTGTAGCTCATCATTACCAGGGTGTTATTGTGTTGTAAAGCACCTTGGGGGGGGGGGGGTCCAGGACTCTAGAAGGCGCTATATCAAATACAGGCCATTTTACCATTTATTTTTAATACTGAGCAGTGTCATAAGGACGATAACCTATTGCTTGTATCATCAGGCGTGCCACACTCATGATGCCATCTCAGAGGCGGCACAGCTAATGAAGGAGGCTGTGGACGACATCATGGTGACGTTGAATGAGGCAGCGAGTGAGGGGTGGGATGGTTGGGGCATGATGGAGTCCATCGCTGAGTCCATCGGCAGGGTGAGGTGGAAGTAAAGAACATTTATCCAGGTTGCACTACAACAAGAATTCATCTTTATTCAGTCATTTTAAAAGATTTTAAGCACGTTTTCTTAAATTAATCCAATGGAAGACAGACTTTTTTCCCCCTGGAAGAACGATTTCATCCATAGTAAATATTCTGGGAGTGTGTCCTAGTCAGTGATTATCACTGGTTCAGTAGATGACAGTATTTGTAATGGTGATCATCCTGCAGGGCAACACATCATTATGTTGACCGCGGAGTTAATAATGAATGATGATCTGCTCAAATGCAGACAGCAACACACAGAGGTCAGACCTCAGCCCTTTGTGGTGTTTTCATGTTTTCACTTTACTGAAGCATTTGTGAAAATACATGACTATACACAAGCCAACAATGTTGGGTTACGAGGCAAATATTAAGGTTATGTGTGGTGTTTTTCAGTGTCATTATTCATGATCTCCTTTTTATTTATTTACACCCCCCCCCCCCCCCCCCCCCCCCACACACACACACACACACACACACAATTTTGAACCCTAAGATCAAGAATGTGAAGGGAAACCATTTACTTTGACATTTAGATCATTAAAATTTCGGAATCTGTGATTTTGATTTCTTGAAATATTAGGAAGGACCTAATATTTAGCTCAGGTGGTAGAGCGGGTTGCCTCATGATCGATGAGATGGGTTCGATCCCAGCTCCCGCCAGGGGTATCCTGCTGTTGTGTCCTTGGGCAAGACACTTCACCCAACTTGCCTGTGTTAGTGGTGGTCAGAGGGGCCGACGGCGCCAAATGGCAGCCTCGCCTCTGTCAGACCTCCCCAGGGAGGCTGTGGCTACAAGTAGCTTACCATCACTAGCAGTGTGTGAATGTGAGAGTGTGTGAAAGCGTCTTTGGGTGTCTAGAAAAGCGCTATATAAGTTCAATGCATTATTAAATAAATAAGCTTGGTATGAGTTTGTTCCAACACAGCATTAAACTAAATTAAAGATCTCTTGTGAGGGAGAGAATCTAGACTAAATAGGTCCAGGAATAGCCATGTGAAGCTGTGCTTAAATTACTGATCTTCACAGTTGGATGAAGGAACTCCTCCAGAACCCGAGGGTTCCTTTGTGGACTATCAGACCACGATGGTGAAGTTCTCAAAGGCCATCGCCATCACTGCACAAGAAATGGTGAGCAGTGGTCCCTAGAATGTCTCATTTTCAATCAGTGTTTTCCCAAATTTGACCAAAACATCCTCACAGTGTTTCTGCTGATTTACTTTGTAACCAGATGACTAAATCAGTCACCTGTCCCGAAGAGCTCGGTGGTCTTGCCTCTCAGGTGACAGTGGATTATGGGCAGCTGGCGCACCAGGGCCGCCTGGCTGCAGCCACTGCAGAGCCAGAGGAGGTAAGAATCCACCCTCGGAATGACTTAGATATTCCCTGGTGAGAGCTAAATGTTCTCTTTCTCCCTCACAGCTGCACGAACAATCTAACATTAAATCAAATCATACTTTTCTTTCCCAGCACTCCCTTACCATTCACCAAAAACATTCTTATTTTGAGGATGGCAATGCGTGCAAATATTTCACTTATTACCCCACAGCTCCTATCTTGTGTGGAACAAGTTGCTTGAAACCCCTGTTGGTTGCCATAGCAACATGACACTTCCACGAGTGTAAAAGCCTATAGTGATGCTTGTAATGAAGTACCCCCCACCCATGAATTGCAGTCAGGAAATGAAAGGTGTAATGCCAGCATTTCCTTTTTGAGAGGACTTGAATTTATTTCTTTTTTCCCACCGACTAGAAAGCGATCCGCCAGCTTGGGAGATGATTGTGATTATGTGATTGTGTCTTCTGTGGTGACAGAAATGAGAAGATGGTTGCTCGGAAATGTCAAGCCGCTTTGTGCTTTCAGGTTGCTTTCCAGATAAAGACGCGGGTGCAAGAGTTGGGTCATGGCTGTATTTATTTGGTCCAGAAGGCTGGAGCTCTGCAGCTTAGCCCCACTGATAGCTTCTCCAAGAGGGAGCTCATTGAGTGTGCAAGAGCAGTCACAGAGAAGGTAAGCAGCGAGGTCAGAATGGTGGAGCACATTTTAAAAGTGTTTTTATTTGTAGACCTTTTTAAAAATGGTTTTTAGGTAATTTCATATTTTTTTAAGTTACTGACTTTACATTAGTATCAATCTAAAAATATGTCTAATTTTTCGATATTAAAAGGTTCTTCACTGAGAAACTTTTTTTCACTTATTATTTTTGAAAATGAGTTTTTCTGGGTTTTTCATGCAGGCTGAACATGAAAATAGTCTCCTACACCTATTTCCTGCATTAGCTTCTGATAGAATATATACGGTGAATCAGAATCAGAATCATGATTCTGATTACCATCAGAAACTCCACCACACGGCAGAACTCCTCCAGGCTTGTGTTATTTGTAGAGATAAAACATCAACCTTGCAGAGCAAACAAGTCAGTGGTAGAGTCTCGTTGCTGTTTGCTAATCAGAGGCAAGATATCCAAATATCAGGAAATAAGACTCCAGATCCTGTCGACTGAAGCTACTTTCTCCTCTAGCTGAATTATCTGTGCTGAAACAGGTGCACCGGAGCTTTTTTTTTCCCAGAATATGTCTTACAAGGCATTCTTTCCTACTTGAGATCATTGCAAATGTAATAGAATATGACTTTTTTTGACAAGTTTAAGGAATGTTTAGGAATAAATTTAAATATATTTTAAAGGCATATAAAATGATGCATACACAAAAGTTAAAAAGGAGTCATTCTGAAGAGTTTCTTTAGTCAGACAAATATGCTTCTTCTTTTAACCTAAAATATGTATTTTTTTCATTAAGTCAGTATCCCACAATATTGTGACAGTTGTGAACAATACTTGCAAGGGAGTTTCTAAAATAACTCAAAAATTGGTTCTCAGATTGTTTGGTTTACCTTTTTAATTGTTTTGTTCTATTTTAAAGGGCCTCTGGTCTTGTCTCACTAGAATTTCAAACATGTTGAAAACATTTGGACAACAGATTTCTTCTAGAAGTAGAATCATCACTAAATTGTCACGGATCTCCGCTCGATGTCATTGTTTGAGTCAGACCCAAAAACTAAAATGTGAGAACAGAAATGTGAGAGAACGTTGGAAGGAGTCTGAAAATAACTTGCTGATAATAAATGAAGCGTGCAAACAGAAAACAGGAGAAATTGCAGCTAGAAAATGTGCAGCAGTCAGTAACTATGCTCCACTTGACACCGAACAAATTTGTTGTTTGTATCAATTTACTGTAATTTCTCTAAAATGTGTTTCCACATAATTTTATTTCCAAATGAGACACTATATTTCCTTTTAGACAATTTAACTTTGCTTTAAAAAGACAAATCTTTATTCATCTTTTTCCCCAACTGGTATTTTGAAATAAATCAAGATTATGTCTTTTAGCCCTGTATGTAGCTGTTCCTACTATCCCTCTCCAATTTACACCAAATCCCAAATGCCAGTGTGTGTCGAGCCCAGAACACTCAGTGGGTTGTGTTTCAGTTAATAAACAGGTTATTTTTAGCTTTGATTAAACATAAAACTTGTTATAAATCAGCAGTAATTAAGTACTTTCTAGACCCTCTCTTTTGCTGCTTGTGCAGCAGCTTAATTTCTGGCGTACTGTAAATATAGACAGTACATAATGCATTATCATGTAGGGTGTGTAGACAGCAGATGAGAAAATAAAGTAGTGGTCTGAAACAGAGACAGCAATTTTAATTAAACATTTCAAAATAACTAATGATCTGAAATTAAACACAGTGATCAGCCATCTTGGCGCAAACATGTTGGTATGGTTAAAAACACATGTATTCTTTACGTATTATTCATGTCTTTAATGATTAATATTTATATTAGACCTGCACACATTTGGAAGAATATGCTTTCAAATGTCTCCTTATAGGAAGTAAAAACGGGTGCTTTGCTCCATTATTGTACCACTCATGAAAGCGCACCATCCTGTCAGCTCTTGCAATGTGCAGTTAACAATAATAGCATATCTCCGTGCTGTGACCCTGGCAGTTTCCGCTCATACCTCTCACTCATTTGCATGAGTCAGAGGCAGTCATTTGACTCCAGATTAGAATTAGATAGAAATAATATGCAGCTTGATATGTGAAGCCTGCAGATCTTGAGGCAATCCATTTGCTTGTGAGAAACACCCAGGGCTGGTTTAACACTGTTTGAGTGAGAGATTTAATTCATTATTAGAACCTTTCACATCCTGCTGTTGCACATCGCATAGCGGTGGAAATGTTCTAATATCTGAAACGGTTGTGGAAGTTTTTCTTTTAAATTTTGATTTGTGACTTGGCGTTTTCCAGGTGTCCTTGGTGCTGTCGGCACTGCAGGCAGGAAACAAAGGCACGCAGGCCTGCATCACAGCCACCAGCGCCGTCTCTGGGATTATCGCTGACCTGGACACCACCATCATGTTCGCCTCTGCTGGAACACTGAACCCTGAGAACGAGGAGTCTTTCGCCGATCACAGGTGCAGTGACCCAAGCACAAATGAGAAAGGCACTTAACACTTTGCTGCTGAACAAAGATCCATTCAGAGAGTACTGCAATGTGGAAAAACGTTTAGCATTTTTTTCCTTCCTTTTTAGTCTTTGTCAATCACACCATGAGGAGAAAGTCAGGTTGCATAATAATGGTTCTCTGATAAAAACATGTTTTGTTCCTCAGGGAGAACATCCTGAAGACAGCCAAGGCTCTGGTAGAGGACACCAAACTGCTGGTTGCAGGAGCTGCATCCACCCAGGAGAAACTGGCTCAAGCTGCTCACTCCTCAGCCAAAACCATCACTCAGCTCACAGAGGTGGTCAAACTGGGAGCAACAAGCATGGGATCGGATGACCCCGAGACTCAGGTGATGGAAACATCTCCAGTAATGAGTGTCTAGGAAAGCTGTAGCTTTCACTTTCTCATAGATACATGCTGTTTTAGTAAACTGATGTCTTCTCTTTAAAACTCCAGTTTCAGTGCACTTTGGATCACTTTCTCCCCCCGAGTTCATGTCTCCATCTCTGCTCCTCTCTCTGTCTGAAGTATCATGTATAGCTCAGAGCGATAAGTGCTAAATCCGCTCCCTAAGGCCCAGCCGTTAAGCTTGCACTTTGACCATTTTGCTTCATTGATTCCAACTCTCACTCCTCAGGTGGTTCTGATAAATGCGGTGCGGGACGTGGCTAAGGCTTTGGCTGAACTCATCGGTGCCACCAAATGTGCCGCTGGTAAACCGCCCGACGACCCGTCTATGTATCAGCTGAAGAGCGCCGCCAAGGTAAAGCAACCGGCCACTCAAACAGACTGCTGTCATGTGTCTTTCATATGTGGATCAATTTCCCTTTAAGCCCCGTCGCTGATGGAATCAGACCTTGGATACGGATTCAAAAATGTCCTCTTTGTCTGGTTTGATGTATCAGGTACAAAGCTTTTATACAAGGAATCAGTAACAGCTCTTATCAAGGTGTCTGCTTTATTATTCCTCATATCTGCAGGACCAAAGCGGCCTAAGATATATTACGTGTATGTATTCGTCAGTCTGAAGGAGAAGGCTGGTGTACTTGACTGAGATCTGTCTGTAACTACATTTTCTGGAGTGTCACTTCAGGAACATCAGCGTGTTTTATCCTTCTTGTCCTTTTCTCATCTGTTCAAATAGTGACCTACATACACTCACCTAAAGGATTATTAGGAACACTTGTCCAACTTCTCTTTAATGCAATTATCTAATCAACCAATCACATGGCAGTTGCTTCAATGCATTTAGGGGTGTGGTCCTGGTCAAGACAATCTCCTGAACTCCAAACTGAATGTCAAAATGTGAAAGAAAGGTTATTTAAGCTATTTTGAGCGTGGCATGGTTGTTGGTGCCAGACGGGCTGGTCTGAGTATTTCACAATCTGCTCAATTACTGGGATTTTCACACACAACCTTTTCTAGGGTTTACAAATTATGGTGTGAAAAGGGAAAAACATCCAGTATGCAGCAGTCCTGTGGGCGAGAATGCCTTGTTGATGCTAGAGGTCAGAGGAGAATGGGCCAACTGATTCAAGCTGATAGAAGAGCAACTTTGACTGAAATAACCACTCGTTACAACCGAGGAATGCAGCAAAGCATTTGTGAAGCCACAACACGCACAGCCTTGAGGCGGATGGGCTACAACAGCAGAAGACCCTACCGGGTACCACTCATCTCCACTACAAATAGGAAAAAGAGGCTACAATTTGCACAAGCTCACCAAAATTGGACGGTTGAAGACTGGAAAAATGTTGCCTGATCTGATGAGTCTCGATTTCTGTTGAGACATTCAAATGGTAGAGTCAGAATTTGGCGTAAACAGAATGAGAACATGGATCCATCATGCCTCGTTACCACTGTGCAGGCTGGTGGTGGTGGTGTAATGGTATGGGGGATGTTTTCTTGGCACACTTTAGTGCCAATTGAGCATGGTTTAAATGCCACGGGCTACCTGAACCTTGTTTCTGACCATGTCCATCCCTTCATGACCACCATGTACCCATCCTCTGGTGGCTACTTCCAGCAGGATAATGCACCATGTCATAAAGCTCCAATCATTTCAGATTGGTTTCTTGAACATGACAATGAGTTCACTGTACTACAACGGCCCCCACAGTCACCAGATCTCAACCCGATAGAGCATCTTTTGGATGTGGTGGAGCGGGAGCTTCATGCCCTGGATGTGCATCCCACAAATCTCCATCAACTGTAAGATGCTATCCTACCAGTATGAGCCAACATTTCTAACGAACGCTTTCAGCACTGCGTTGAATTAATGTCACGTAGAATTAAGGTTGTTCTGAAGGCGAAAGAGGGTCAAACACCGTATTAGGGTGGTGTTCCTAATAATCCTTTAGGTGAGTGTATGATCTTGAATTTAAAATTCTAAAAATCAGATTTTCTTCATTTTTGAATTTTAAAATATTTTCATGAGTAACCTGTCTGCTTATGAGGTGCACAGAAATTCTATGTGAAATTTCTATAAAAAGACTGATTTAGATCTGAACTGTCTGATTGGCCTATTTGGATAAATTGTTTACTTCCTTTAAGACTAATGAGGTAATGGCTCAGATGGCACTGTCCCAAAAGAGCTATGCAAACATTACCTTAGGTATATTTTCACTCCCTTAATTGTTGTACTACTTGGTTACGTGCAGCATTAAACTGTTGCATCTGACAGGAATTTCATTACATATCCGATGTAATAATGTGTAATGTGAATTATTATGGAAGTGTTGTGGTTCACAGAATGTTTGCTTGAATGTTTGTGGAATTTTAAGATGGTAGCATTACACTGGTCATGGCTGTGCTCAGACTAGCCGTTAGCTTGTCAGTCGTAAGGAACATAAACTTCATTTTTTCAAGCTGAAGCTTCTCGTGGGGTTATGTACAATGGATAAATTGTAATTATTTTAAACTTTTTATACAGAAACATCTCAAAATGTCCCAAAGCTATTGAGATGGCACCAGTGCTCTTTGTGTTGTAGAGCTTAAAGCCTAAAAAGAAATCAGAAGAAAGCAAAGAAAAAGTGGGAAACATTTGTCAGAAGCTTTGGTATCATCAATCAACCTTATGTTGCTCTGCTCAGATTCTCCGATCTATGTTTCCAGTGGCGCCCCCAAAACTTTTTCATGGGGGGGCCAATGATCATGTTGAGGTGGCACACCAAAATGGTCACTGAGATAACTCTGGTAGAGTTTAGTCAGTAGATGTGCATTCTTCATTGTAGTTATTAAAAAAAATGAACAACAGTCCTACGCATCCAACACATTTACCTTCAATCAGAGAAACAAAAACCTTTAAAAAGATACAATTTCAATATGTTATTTTTGTTATTGTTTCAAATTTTATCGTTGCTGAATTTTAAAACTGTTTTATTTAACTGTTGGTGTTTTAACAAAAACATCCACAATACTTTTGGGATTTATACTTTTTATGTTGAGCCTTGGTGGCATGCATTTATATATATATGTATATATATATATATATATATATATATATATATATATATATATATATATATATATTGTGATTTATTAAGTAAATGTTTTATTAAAATATATTAATTTATTGGCTTCAACACTTACATAATGTCTTTACTAAAGTAGATAACCGAATGGCTTTTGCGAACATGAATAGGATTTATTAAGAAGGTTTAAGGTCTTCCCTTGGGGAGGCAGTGGGGTGGTCAATAATCTTTCAGGAGGGGCCATTGACCCCCCACCCCCCTGGCCACCCCTTGGGGGCATCATTGCATGCTTTAATAGCTAATTAACAAAGCCACAGATCGCAGCTTTTGAATGAGACCTTTACACAGCTGTGGCCACTACATTAAATAAATTAAGAGCATTAGCATTAGAACATCAGGTAACTAGTAAAACATATTTGAGAAATGTGTTTTAAAGATTGGGTCAAATTTTCCTCAGTAAACAGGAGTCATCGTCACAGCAACCACCACATGTGGCCGTTCCACAGGGTTTCTTCTATGTTCTCATCTAAGTGGAATTAGGGCCACCCATGGACACGCTCGTGTCGACAGATTGTTTCTGTTCCACCAGCATATGGTGACCTCCGTCAAAGTCCTGGAGATCATGTTTCTAAATTCCAAACGTACGAATGCACAATTTGCTGGACGTGGCACGGACTGTAAAATGTGTCACAATGAGTCGGTAAAATTTCAACCCTTTTCCCTTTTTTCCCCCCAATTCCGATTCCGGTAATAAGTCATTGCCGACAGCTAGTCGCCGTTTTCTGTAGCAGAGCATCCTTCTGTGTTCTCTTCATTATTCATTTTTAAATCATCTCAGTGTTTTTCCTTGTGCAGGAATTAGGATCTTACATTATAAATGTTCCTCTCAGGCTGAAGAGCTCCACCTCCTGGTTTAGGGTCAACCCTTAATGCTGCTCTTGCTATTGGCAGGTCATGGTGACCAACGTGACGTCTCTTCTGAAAACAGTGAAGGCGGTGGAGGATGAAGCCACTCGTGGGACCAGGGCACTGGAGGCCACCATAGAGTTCATCAGGCAAGAGCTGACTGTAAGTGCTCCTGACAGGCCAAGCCTTTCCTCCCTGGTCTGTTGAGAGTTAAATCATGAGACACGGCCTCTGCACAAAGCTGGTTAAAAAAGGGTCAGGGATATCTGTGTCTATTATTCTGAACAACACTGGGGAGCTTTTTGTTCCGTCTTTTTCTTTATTATCTGTCCAGCCTCCTCCTCCTCCCCTTGCGGCCCCTGCAGGTTTCCCACAACTCTTATCTGGGTTTGGGAAGCAAATGCAGCCAGAGTGCAAAATGAAGAAGATTTCAAGAGCTTGTTTTTGTGTAATTTGCTCCTAATCCTCATCAGACGACCTCCAGCCTGAAAAAGAAGCTTTGCTGAAACCCACAGCAAAGGCCAACCCCAACCAAGTTTATTTAATTACACTTCCGCTCATGATAAAGACGTGTGCCTGCCATGTTTGTTTCTGTAACCTCTCTGAGCTTCATGCCTATATCCAACCAGTTGTGTTTGCGGTCAGGTGTTCCAGTCTAAGGACGTCCCAGACAGGTCCACTACACCTGAGGAGTTTATACGCAAAACAAATGGCATCACCATAGCGACAGCCAAGGCAGTGGCAGCAGGCAATTCGGCGCAGCAGGAGGACGTGATCGCCACGGCCAACCTGAGCCGCAAAGCCATCTCTGATATGCTGGCTACCTGCAAGGTGCTAATCCACTCCTCCCTGCCAGTGCAGCCCTCACACACTCACACACACACACACACACACACACACACACACACACACACACACACACACCGGGCTAACAGGAAGCATGCTGAGAGCTCATAAAGCGGTCAGGGCTGTTCTGTGGATGCTGCTGCTGCAGGATGTGTCACTGTCACTTTTCAAAGTCACACAAGGAATCATCAGTCAGGATGTCCTTCAGTTCCCGTAGAGCACCTGGAGAAGGAAGAAGAGAGATTAATTTAAAATTAAAGTCATCACAAAAAATATATAATTTGCATCAGCAAGGAATGTGTGATCAAAGCTAGAAAATTCACATATCACATTGAATTATTTGGAGTTTTCTTTTAATTACTGAATTTACATGTTTGACTTTACAGCAAGCAGCCCATCATGCTGAAGTGAGTGAGGAGTTAAGAATCAAGGCCTTGCAGTACGGCACGGAGTGCACCGCCAAATACATCAACCTTCTGGAGGAAGTGCTGCAGGTCGGACTGAAGAGTCACATGTCTCATAAACAGAAGACCTGAATAATTCACACTTTTTGTGTGTTCAGATCAGGGTCTAGCAGCATTATGAGAACCTGAGTGTGTGTGTGCGTGTGCGTGTGTGTGTGTGTGCGTGTGTGTGTGTGTGTGTGTGTGTGTGTGTGTGTGTGTGTGCGTGCGTGCGCGCGCGCGTGCGTGCGTGTGTGTGTGTATGTATGTACGTGCGTGCATGCGTGCGTGCGTGCGTGTGTGTGCGTGCGTGTGTGTGTAACTGACCGCATTGGTCTTTTTATGTTTCAGGTGCTGCAGAGACCCACACCGGAGCAGAAGCAGCAGCTGGCTGGACATTCGAAGCATGTGGCTGCGTGTGTGACGGAGCTCGTCCAGACAGCTGAGGCCATGAAAGGTGACCACACACACACACACACACACACACACACACACGCACACACACGCACACACACACACAAACAAGACTAATGACCTTTAATTACCAGTACCACCATTCAGACAGATGTTTCTTATGTTTTTTTCTTTTTTTCTGAGCTCTCCTAAATATTTTGGTGACCGGCCTCAATTACTTAACAGATAATAACCAATTATAAAAGATTTAGACAATAACGAGACCAAATGTATCAGTTGCATTCAGTTATATTCATCTCGATCATGACCCGTGTTGTGTGTTTGGATGCTTTCCTCTACATTATCAGCCATTATTTGTAGGCAAATAATAATAAGCAGATTTTAATTTCTTAATGACTGTGAGTCGTTATACTGGAGATCCAGCAGAATGAAATGAGGATGAGGGGAGCTTCCCAGTTGTTTAAAAAAACAGGACAGGATGGTGAAAATGTTTGTCAATGGAGACATAATCCTCTTGCGCATGAGAAGCCACCAAACCTCAAACCTGCCTGCATCACTTATGGAGATGGTTTGGGGGAAAAATCACTTTAGAATATTAAAATCCTATTGAAAAATGACTGTCAAGCAAAGTGTTCCAAATGAAGCTCTTTGTGATGGTTAAAAAGCAAACAAACTGTGGCATTTCCTCCAGATGCTGCAGTAGTGCATGTGACAGGAGTAATAGATTGTGTTTAGATGAGAATTAGATTTCATTGCACAGTCTGACACACAGTGGGGCTATCTACTTCACCTCTCTAATGTCCCGTGTGCTCTCTGTTTCTCTCTGCTCTCCTCTTTCCTCGCTGCTTCAGATGGAGGTAAGTGGGATGTGGTGTGTTTCGTTCCCCCAGATCACCTTACATCGGAGAGGCAGAGGGTAGATGGCTCAGGGGCAGAGGAGATTGCCCTTTAAACTATAAAAACATCATCCCATCTGCTTCGCCAAGCTGTCCACAAACAGCTCTGGCTTTTGAAAACCTTTAAAAATATGTTCAGCTTGTCTTCGAGGCATCGTCATCAAACTGTAAATAAAAAGCTTTGTGTTTGTTTTACAGATTTTTACTCTGCGAGTCCACGTTGAAAAGAAAAATAACCCATTCTGCGATCAATGTCTGCCTTCGATCTCCTTCCAGGATCTGAGAGCGTGGACCCTGAGGACCCCACCGTCATCGCTGAGACCGAGCTCCTCGGAGCCGCAGCGTCCATTGAAGCTGCGGCCAAGAAACTGGAGCAGCTCAAACCCAGGGCCAAGCCCAAGGTAATGAATGCTCCAGCCCCCACCCCCATATTGACCTTTCCCACCCACGCAAACCCACACACAGCTTCCTGCTGCTAATCAGCTGGCAGACGGTGACGATGGAGTGGAGAATGAGCTGGAAGAGGTGACTCCGGCTTTGAAGTGGAGTCACCGTTTTTCTATCATGAAACCACAAAGGGAGAAAATGAGTCTGTTACACACCACGAGCTCCAACTTTCTTCAAAGCTACTTTTTTAACTTTTTTCGGCGTTGCATTGCCAGTAGATGCAATTACACAGCTGGGCTGTCGAGCTTATCTTGGCCCAAGCTCAAATGTGAGATGAACTGTTGACCCTTTGTTAAGGACGGGCTTGTTTGTCCCACTGACCATATTTCCTGTTTTATCAGAGTTTTTATTTCTAAACGACACCTCCAAAGGCATCAATAGAGATTAGACTCCAAACACAATTCATTTCTAAAGCAGGATTGTCTGCATGATCGTGTTGTTTATTTGTTCGTCTCTTCCCCCGTTTCTCCTGTAAATGTGATTATCTGTTCAGCACACTGTCTGACATTAAAGCAGGAATGTTTAGGTTGCCCTAGATTTTAATACCGACCATATTAAGCCGTTCCTCATGCTTTAATGTCATCGCTGCAGACTGTATGTGAGGATATTTGTGTATGAAAGGAGATTAATCAGTGAGAACCTTTTTCAAAAATGTGTTAGTAGCTCCCCCTTGTGGGCGTTTAGACAGTAATGTTTGCTGTAAGTTTTCCTTTTCATGACTGATCATGTCCTCTGTCTACTTAGAGGCAGATAAGACTTTGTGACTCTATCATTTGTGAGCTGCAGGACCAAATTAATCCTAGCCTGGACTGAAAAAGCAAATTTTCTTTGATTGCTGTACAGAGCAAACTTACTGTATGTATAGTTTCTGATAGCTTGAGCACATTTTTTGCAGACAAACCAGCAAAGAGAAGGATAAACGTAGCAGACAGAAGCCTTGATTCTTCTTTCTTCTTAACCTCCTTCTCTTTGCTACTTCATACCTCTCGCCCTCTGAGAGTTGGACTGCTCTCCTGCTCCCAGCATGCTGTCTTCTTCCTCCCCTCCTCCCTCCTTACCCCCTGAACCATTGTAGACCTGGAAGCCTTCTGTGCAGGGCTCTGTCTGATATGTTTGATATATTAGGTTGTTATTCAGTCCAACTATATATCAAACATATTCCTACAGTGTCCCGCCCTGTCTCCAGCCACCTGTGCCTTATGTGTTTATGGAGGTCTGTGGCCGATCACATCCTTTTGGCTGTCCGTGCAGAGACGGCTATTTGTTAAATGCCCCTGAACTGAAACCCCCAGCTCTGTTTCAGATCCTCGTGGAGCTCTTTAGCTCAGGATTTGGGATGCAGATCATTAAATGCAGCTCTTGGTGGATTTTCAAAGTAATTGTATATTTTAGGTGATTGGAGTCTGGGGTCATTTCTTTGATTTTCTGGGATTTTAGGAAGCCTAATAGCTGAACTGTATTATAATATGTTGTTATATGTAGACGTTTAGAGTTTTATCTTATTTTTGTCTTATCCTAACAGATTCAGATTTGTATTTCTTTCATTTTAAGACTTAGTAAGTATAACATTGAGTGTTAAGTAGCCCTTTTTTTCTTCCAGCAGGCAGATGAGACATTGGATTTTGAGGAGCAGATCCTAGAAGCAGCAAAGTCCATCGCTGCAGCGACTAGCGCCCTTGTAAAATCAGCCTCCGCTGCTCAGAGAGAACTGGTGGCACAAGGAAAGGTCGGTCTCGCTTTCTCAGAGACAATCAAGTGAATTATATTTAATACAATTTTATGGAAATTCGTCCTCAGGTGGGGTCCAACATTGCCAATGCTGTGGATGATGGTCAGTGGTCACAGGGACTCATATCAGCTGTAAGTTCCTTTAAAAATAGTGAGTTTTTTGTCATTAAAACCACCTTTTTTCATTTATCTGTGACATTGTTCCTACTGCAGGCTCGTATGGTTGCAGCAGCCACCAGCAGCCTGTGTGAAGCAGCCAACGCCTCGGTGCAGGGCCACGCCAGCGAGGAGAAGCTCATCTCTTCAGCCAAGCAGGTTGCTGCTTCCACAGCTCAGCTGCTGGTAGCCTGCAAGGTGAAAGCCGACTGCGACTCTGAAGCCATGAGAAGACTACAGGTATGACTGACCCTCCTCTGCATCTGTGGAAAATAAAAATCCTGTTTACATGATAACATTTGTGCAATATCTTTAACCAAAAGGCTGCTGGTAATGCTGTAAAGCGAGCTTCAGACAATCTGGTCAAAGCGGCTCAGAAAGCAGCATTTGACAAGACAGAAGATGACAGCGTTGTGGTGAAGACCAAATTCGTTGGAGGCATTGCTCAGGTAAGCTAAATCCTGGGGGAAAAATAGTATGTGAAGGCTGGAACACAAATCTTTTTCCACGGTTCGGATTGCCCTTTTCCGCTGAACGTTACTGAGTGTTTGTACTTCTTGCCGACACGCAGAAATGCCACGCTTGTTTTTCTGAAACTGTGATGAGCTCCTGCAGATAAAAAAACAAACCATCAGATCTGTTTGAAGGCTGTGTATCAGGTTTGTTAGATGTTCACCGCTGCAAAATATCACATATCTGAAAAACCTCAAATGTTGGTTTTTGCTACAGTAGAAAATTACTTTCCTTTTTGATTTTTGAAAAGCAATTTGATTCTGTTATTTTACATTATGGTTGGGATTCCTCTCTCATCACCTGACACGTCCTATTCTTGTCAAACTGACTACAAACTGCCACTTTAGACTGATAATTTTACATACAAAGAAAAACGAACTATATTTTAAGATGCTGGTGAATATTTTCAGTCATCCTTGTCGTGGGAATCTAAAGGCTTCAAATGAAAGCAACTGGATGTCTTTGTTTTCCTAAAGACGTTTCGCTTCTCATCCAAGTAGCTTTGTCAATTCTGACTGGAATATGGGAGCGTCAAGCTAAGAAGCTGTAGCTGTCTGTTTGTGGTCCAATGAGGTGAAACTGCCTGTGAAAACCCCTTCTCCCTACCCCACAAGGACCTGTTAATGCCGTTAGGTCTTGTTGTGTTAGAGTGGTTGTTTCATAAATTGCAGGAGGGTGTGACCTATACTGAAACCGTTTTGGAATTAAGTTCAGCTGCATTGCAGAAAAGGTTAATCCTGAGGCCTCCTCCTCTGTTCAATGTAGATCTTTCCCGTTATGGCTGCCTTTACTCCTCTCTCAAACCACCTCTTCTCTGTCCAGATTGTAAACATTGTCACATTAACCTTTCGAGCATTTACAATGCAGCTCTGATCCTAATTCCAAAACAGTTTCAGTCTAGTTCACGCCTTCTGCGTCTAATCAACGCAACAGTTCTAACACAATAGGACCTAACGACATCAACGACTCAATGGGGGTAGGGAGGAGGGGTATTCATAGGTAGTTTCAGCTTGTTAGACAACAACAGTTTACAAGCTCACCTCTCCCAAATTCCATTCAGAATTGACGAAGCTGCTCAGGTGAAAAGTGAAACGTCTTTAAGAAACCAAAGAACATACATTCTTGCCTTCATTTGAACCCTTTGGAAGAAAGTAAGATCTGACAGGAACAAACTGGTCTGAGGTTGTTTTTTTTTTATTTAAGAAACTATGATTTGGTCTTCTTGATCTCCTCAGATCATCGCAGCTCAGGAGGAGATGCTTAGGAAGGAACGGGAGCTGGAGGAGGCTCGGAAGAAGCTAGCTCAGATCCGACAGCAGCAATACAAGTTCCTACCCAGCGAACTGAGGGAGGATGAGGGCTGACCGAGGGAGCACACAGTGTGTGTGCTGAAGACTTGCTGACGAGACTCTGAAAAGGTTAATGAAAAATATACAGCACTTGAAGAAGGCTTGTTTGGTGAGAAAAAAAAAACAAGTGCCTGTGCTCTGTAGTGTTTTTGTGTGAGTGTAAGTGTGTGTGGTGTGTGTATTTGTCAGTGAATGGCATCGACATTTAACATGAAGGTTATTGTTTGTAAACAGAGTTTTTTTCTTGACTCTGTGGGTGTTAGTGCATCACGCACACAACCGACTGTTACAGACGTGAAACAAATTCATCTAGAATCACCGAATGAAGAAGAAGAAGAGGATGTTCTGTAATTGTCTAAACTTTTAGAGCAAAGAGGGTGGAACCCAAATTTTCTGCAACTAACTTGCGTTTTATCCTTAAAGAACTCCTTAAAAGCAGCAAGGAAGCATGCACTATAATCTCAACATTAACCAATGAAAAGTCTCAAATATTCACCAGGTGACTGCAGGCAAACCAACAACTTTATTTTTCTTTTTTTCTCTAGAATCTTTACTCAGAGTTGTTCTTTTTGATGCCAAAAACTGAGAGACAGTGAGACAAACCAGTTAAATACAAATCATAATAACGTCACTGACCAAAACTTATTATATATTATTCATAAATATAAGTATTATCAATCCTTTTTTACAAATTCCTATAAGAGGTGTAAAGTGTATTACTCAGAGAACCTGGATGAAATGTGACCAAAAAAGAGGAAAAGAAATATTTTGCCTCATGTATATTATTCCAGTCAGTACTATCCCACTAAATGCAGAGAGCTCATACACGGTGTGTTTACATTAATGGACATGTATCTTGAATTTATTTCTATGCCCACTTACACTAGCCATATGCTCTCTGTACCACTCACACACACACACAGTCACTGCCTTGTCTCTGTAATATGTATATTACACTGAATATTCTAGCAATGTAACGAGAAAAATGAGTTGTGTGCAATGATTCTGGGCTTCAGGCTCCTGACTGAAATTCATTATGCTCTGATTAATTTTTTCTACTGAAAATGTCAAATTAAAGCTTACATTCTAAGAAATAAGATGAGGAGAAAACTTCAAGCTCTGATTGAGTGTTTGCTATATTAATGAATATTATATATTAAAAGTCTCCTCCCTCTGTCCAGTGTGTCTGGTCTGCATCGTGCCTTATGAGTCTGCCCTGCAAGCAGCTGAAAAATCAGACTGGGTCATCCTCTCCGGATCGGGGTCCTATAACTTTGCCATACAGTATAACGCATACCTGCCATTGGGTTTATACTGCCCATACTAAAGAGCATCTGTGGATACTTTAGGATTTAGAGACTAGTGCTAGGCTGCGTTCAATGAGCATGTGGTAATTTGTATCTGAAGCTGAGAAATTGTTTAAATTAATCAAATCCCGCTGAAAGCTGAGTGACTTCCTTGTTGCATCATCTAACCACTATATAAAAAGTTTTTATTATATAAATGTAAAAATTAATCTGAAATCTATTGATCTGTTGGAGTAGGAACAAAATAAGGTCTGTTATGAGTTGGTGTTGTGCTTTTTTTGACAGGACCGCATTAGTTTCATCATTTGATGCTGTATGTACAATATTTATCTGGTCACAAGAGTATTTTTTGTATTCACTAAAAATAAAACATTTGAAAGAACCAGAACGGATGTGTTTTTCCCTCTTTTTTCAGCTCTAATAAACTCTGTGCTGTGATTTTTACCCATAAACTGATCCCCCAAAAATTATGCTTCGTATAAATTTGTGATCTGTTAATTGTGCAGAAAAACAACACTTAGATGTTCTAATAATTCATACAATTTGTTATAGGAACAATAAAAAATACACAGAAGGAGCGGTCACCTCAACTTTTATATCTGGTCTTTGGAACTTCTAGAAGATTTAGATTTTTGGATGGTTGGAGCATCAGGCTTTAACAGTTCAGTAATATAGGGAGAGGCTTGACCATGTAAAGCCCTGAAAATTAGTCAGGATTCTAAAATGAACTCTGAAGTTAATGGGTAACCAGTGCCGAGACATTAGAATAGGAGTGATGTGAGCTCTTCTGTTTGTTCTAGTTAAGAGCCTTGCTGCAGAGTTCTGGACCAACTGACAGCAGTCAAGGGCTTTTTCGTTAAAACATGAAAAGTGTGTTACAATAATTTAGATGGGAGGAGATAAAGGCATGAATAACCATTGCAAGTTCATGCTTTGACACCAACCTTTGCAGTTTGGAGATATTTCTCAAATGATATAAACAGTTTCAGATCCGCGTTTTTGAGTTGCCCTCTAGAGACATTGACTGGTCAAAAACACCCAAATTCTTCAAGTTTGTCTTGACGGCAGAGGATAAATGACCACCTTTTTGACTAATCAGAGGAACCAAGCTCTCAGGGGCAATGATCAGACATTCAGTCTTTTCAGAGTTTAAATGAATGAAGTTATCTTCTAGTCAGCTGGTTGTCGCTGATAGACACTCTAGAATTTCAGACAGTTTATCTCAGTTTAACTCAGATTTCTTAAAGGAGCAGTACAGCTGAATACAATCTGCCTATACACTCACCTAAAGGATTAGGAACACCTGTTCAACTTCTCCTTAATGCGAGTATCTAATCAACCAATCACATGGCAGTAGTGCCATTTAGGGGTCAATGCATTTAGGGGTGTGGTCCTGGTCAAGACAATCTCCTGAACTCCAAACTGAATGTCAGAATGGGAAAGAAAGGTGATTTAAGCAATTTTGAGCGTGGCATGGTTGTTGATTCCAGATGGGCTGGTCTGAGTATTTCACAGTCTGCTCAATTACTGGGATTTTCACCCACAACCATTTCTAGGGTTTACAAAGAATGGTGTGAAAATGGAAAAACATCCAGTATGCGGCAGTCCTGTGGGCGAAAATGCCTTGTTGATGCTAGAGGTCAGGAGAATGGGCCGACTGATTCAAGCTGATAGAAGAGCTATTTTGACTGAAATAACCATTCATTATGTCAGGTTGGATTGGCTGAGCTGAAGTGTAGCGGAGGTTGCTTGTAGCGTGGCTGTGTGACCCAGACGCGGAGTGGCTAGCGTTAGGTTGAACAGAGGCCCCAGGAAGCGGGGAGCGAGCTTCCGGGAGCCCGCCGGCATCCTCAGTTTGGTGGAAGAGAACCACACCTGGTCACCAGGCTGGAAGATGGGGCCTGGCCGGTGGCGGCGGCGATGTTGACGGGCGTATTCCGTATTGGCCTGGTTGATGGCTGCACGGGCCCGGATCCAGGCGAGACGATAGCGGCGGACCAGAGTCTGAGCAGCAGGAACCTCCACTTCAGGCACCTGATGGCTGAACAGAGGGTCTGGTACCCATAACATATCTCAAAGGGAGAAAGACCTGTGGCAGAGGAGGTATGGAGGTTGTGAGAGAGTTCCGCCCACAGGAGGTAGCGGGGCCAGGTGGACGGTTGGGACGAGGCGAGGCAGCGCAAGTAGCGTCCAAGCTGCTGATTCGCCCGTTCCGTCTGGCAATTAGTCTGAGGATGATACTCGGAGGAGAGGCTGGTGGAAGCGCCGACCAGACGACAGAAGGCCCTCCAGAAACGTGAGACGAACTGGGGTCCCCTGTCGGACACCACGTCCTGGGGAAAGCCGTGAAGTCGCACCACTTGGTTGAGGAGGAGTTCAGCCATTCTCTTGGCAGTGGGGAGACCGGCCAAGGCCACTAGATGCACGGCCTTAGAGAACCGGTCGGTGATGGTGAGGACAGTGTCCAGGCGATCGACAGCGGGAAGTCCCGTGATGAAATCCAGGCCGATGTGCGACCACGGCCGCTTGGGCACGGGGAGCGGTTGCAAGACTCCGGCGCCAGATTGGGTGGACGACTTGGACCGGGCGCATACATCACATGCGGCAGTGTACTCGCGTACGTCCTTCCTCATAGAGGGCCACCAAAGCGCCCGACGGAGAAACTGGAGGGTGCAAGCTTGGCCTTGATGTCCAGCGAGCTGCGAGCAATGCCCCCACTTCAAGGCCTCCCGTCGGCAGATGGCCGGAACATAGAGGCGGTTCGGGGGAGTCTCTGGGGGTGCCGGATCAGCAGGGAGAGCAGCCCGGATGGATTGTTCCAGAGGCCATTGTAGGGAGGCCAAGAACCGATGGGCCGGCATGATGGTCAAAGGTTCCGGAGGCTTTGGATCTTGCGTGTAGCACCGGGAGAGAGCGTCCGCCTTGAGGTTCTTGGAGCCGGGTCGGTGGGCGATGTGAAAGTTATAGGGCTCGAAAAAGAGGGCCCACTGAGCCTGGCGAGGGTTGAGTTGGCAGGCAGTCTGTAGATGGATTAGGTTCTGATGGTCGGTCCAGATTAGGAAAGGATCGGAGGTTCCTAAGAGCCATTGCCTCCACTCCTCCAGAGCCCATTTTATCGCCAGCAACTCCCGGTCACCGACCCCATAGTTCTGCTGTGTGGGGGAGAACTTCCAGGAAAAGTTAGCGCAGGGGTGGAATTCGGGGTCCGGACCCCGTTGCGATAGGACGGCTCCCGCTCCCACCTCGGAGGCATCCACCCCCACGATGAAGGGCCGGTTAAGATCCGGGTGGAGGAGGATGGGTTCACTCACAAAGTGACGGACCAGTTCATGGAAGGCTCGGATAGCCCCCGGAGTGAGGCGGAAAGGGCAAGGCTGATTGGCTGTTTTGGTGAGGGAGGTTAGAGGCGTGGCGAGGGAAATGAAGTTGCGGATAAATCTGCGGTAGAAGTTTGAAAAGCCCAGAAAGCTCTGTAGCTGTTTTTGGGTCCTGGGTAGTGGTCACTGAGCTACAACCTGAACCCTCTGAGGATCCATGCTCAGACCCCGGGAGGAGATGGTGAAGCCCAGGAAGGAGGTGGACTCCTGGTGAAAGGCACATTTCTCCAATTTGCAATAGAGATTGTGGTCAAGGAGACGGGACAGGACGGCTCAAACTTGCTGGGTGTGCTCTTCGACCGTGCGAGAGTACATGAGGATCTCGTCCAGATATACGAAGACCCAACGACCTACCATGTCCCTCAGTACATCGGTGATGAATTGTTGGAAAACTGCAGGGCTATTGCAGAGGCCAAAGGGCATGACTAGGTACTCGTAGTGGCCGGTCGGTGTGATGAAGTCGGTTTTCCACTCCTCTCCCTCCTTGATGCGGATCAGGTTATAGGCACTACGCAGATCCAGTTTGGTGAATACGGTGGCTTGGGAGGTCGCGTCCAGAGCACTAACCATGAGGGGAAGAGGGTGACGATCCCGGATGGTTATCTTGTTCAACCCCCAGTAGTCAATACAGGGCCGGAGATCCCCCTCCTTCTTCTTAACAAAGAAAAACCCTGCAGCGCCAGGGGATGTGGATTGGCGGATGAAACCCTTCTGGAGGGCCTCGTTGATGTAGGAGTCCATTGCCCTGGTCTCCGCCGGGGAGAGTGAGAACAGACGACCTCGGGGCAGGGTGGTTCCGGGATGGAGTCTGATCTCCAAATCATAAGGCCGATGAGGGGGTAACCTGGTGGTGGGTTCCTTGGCAAAAACCTGAGCGAGGTCATGGTACTGTGGTGGAACGAGTGTCAAGTCCACATCCTTAGGAGGTGTCGCTCTAGTCTGGGATCCAAGGGAACTACAGTGGGTGAGGCAAGTCGTGCCCCAGGCCATGACCTTGCTGGTGGACCAGGATATGTGAGGCTCATGGCGGCAGAACCAGGAGTGACCCAAGATGAGAGGAGTAGCCGGGGCCTGAATGACAAGAAAATAAAGGGTCTCCACGTGCTGATCAATGGTCATGCGGAGGTCCTGGGTTCAGTGGGTAAGAGGGTACGGCATGAGCGGGCGACCATCCACTGAGGTGACAGGAATGGGTCGGTCTAGAACTGTGAGGGGTATCTTGAGGCGGGCGACCAATCCCTGGTCAATAAAACATTCTGCGGCGCCGGTGTCGAGAAGGGCTTCCAGTGGGACCGGCCCTTGGTCCAGCTGGAATGTGACCGGGAGGGTGGTGCGATGTGGGACTGGAAGAGTGGAGACTCCGGGCGGGACAGCCCCTACACCGACCCGGAGGGACCGTTTCCCGGTCGTATCGGACACGTGGCGCCGTGGTGACCCAAATCCCCACAATAGGCACATTGTCCCTCTTGGTAATGTCGCGCCATTTCCTCGGGAAGAAGAAGACCCAACTGCATGGGTTCCTCCATCGGTTGGCTGACTTGACGACGGGGAGATGGTCTGGTGTGAATAGGAGCCGACATTGTGCTCGGTCAATTCAGGATGCAGCGGTCCAGTTGGAGAGCTAGGTCCACCGCCAGGTCCAGGGAGGTCGGGGCTTCATGCCCGATCGTGCCCTCCCGGATTCGGGGAGACAACCCTGGATGTACATTCCACAAATCTCCATCAACTTTAAGATGCTATCCTACCACTATGGGCCAACATTTCTAAAGAATGCTTTCAGCACCGCATTGAGTCAAAGCCACATAGCATTAAGGCAGTTCTGAAGGCAAAAGGGGGTCAAACACCGTATTAGTATGATATTCCTAATAATCCTTTAGGTGAGTGTAGGTGATAAGAGACACTACTGAAAGAATACATTTTCTGTCCAAGAGGGTGTATATAAAGTAGAAACAAAAGTTAACCAAAAACAGAGCCTTGGGGTACCCCACAGATCAGACTGGTAGAA